TCAAAGGTGTATGATGTCCATCTTTTCTGATATGCTTGAAAAATCCATTGAAATATTTATGGATGATTTTTCTGTGTATGGTTCATCATTTGACAATTGTTTAAATAATTTGAAAAAGAGCTTGGAAAGGTGTGAGGAAACAGACTTGGTCTTTAATTGGGAGAAATGTCATTTCATGGTCAAAGAAAGAATTGTTCTTGGACACTTGATTTCAAAAAGAGGGGTTGAGGTAGATATGGCAAAGCTGGAGGTAATTGAAAAACTACCCAAACCTACCACGGTTAAGGGAATCAGAAGCTTTTTGGGTCATGCCGGATTTTATAGAAGGTTTATCAAAGATTTTTCAAAAATTTCAAAACCTCTTTGTTTACTCCTCCAGCATGACCAAAAATTAAATTTTAATAATGAATGCAGAAATGCATTCAAAACTTTGAAAAAAACTTTGGTTACCGCACCAGTGGTAGTTGCCCCGGATTGGAACAAACCTTTTGAGATAATGTGTGACGCTAGTGATTGGGCGGTAGGTGTTGTATTAGGACAAAGAAAAGACAAGGTGTTTCATTCAATCTACTACGCAAGTAAGATTTTGAATGAAACACAAATTAATTACACCACAACTGAGAAGGAATTATTAGCCATAGTTTTTGCTTTTGAAAGATTTAGGTCCTACTTGATGGGAACAAAGGTAATTGTGCATACCGATCACTCAGCCATCAAGTACCTAATCTCAAAGAAAGATGCAAAATCTAGGTTAATAAGATGGGTGCTTTTATTGCAAGAATGTGACTTAGAGATTCTTGATAGAAATGGGGTAGAGAATCAAGTAGCGGACCATTTGTTTAGGTTGGAAGAGCCCGAGAAAGGAGGAATGGACATTAGTGATACTTTTCCGGATAAAAGAATCCTCTTGATTGACCAACCAAAAACACCATGGTTTGCGGATTTAGCTAATTTCTTGGCCTGTGGAATAAAACCATCTAATTACACAGGCCACATGTTGAAAAAATTATTTCATGATGCTAAATCTTATTTGTGGGATGACCATTTTTGTTTAGACTTGGTGCAGATCAGTTTTTGAGAAGATGCGTGTCCGAAACTGAAGTGGCAGCACTCCTGCAGCATTGCCATCATGCACCATATAGAGGCCATTTTGGAGGCCAAAAAACTGCAACCAAAGTTTTACAATCCGGTTTTTATTGGCCAACCATTTTTAAAGATTCCCACAATTTTGCACAAAGGTGCAATGAATGTCAAAGAAGTGGCTCCATTTCCAAAAGGAATGAAATACCATTAAATGGGATACTCGAAGTTGAATTATTTGATGTTTGGGAAATAGACTTTATGGGTCCTTTCCCTCCATCAAATAATTGCCAATACATACTTGTGGCTGTTGACTACGTATCCAAATGGGTGGAGGTTATGGCATGTGTGTCAAATGATGCAAAAACTGTGGTTAAGTTCCTCCAAAAACATATTTTCACACGGTCCGGTACCCCAAGGGCACTAATTAGTGACAAGGGTACCCACTTTGTGAATAATTTGTTAAAATGAGTCCTTGAAAAATACAATGTTAACCACAGAAGTTTACATAAGGACACAAAGTCAATACAAAAGAGCAAAGCTATAAATTGACTCCTTATCACACAAAGAGTGTTGAAAACACAACAAAAGTCCCTTAGGGGCTATGTGTTTTAGAAAATGTTATGAAAAGGCACAACAAAAGTGCAAAATAGGCCATAGTGCCCAAAAATTTGAAAATTTTACATGTGGAGTATATAAGAGGAAAAAAAAAGCTATGAGATAAAAGATACGCCAATTAGAGAAAACCCTATAAGCCCTATTGATCCTAAAATGGTGAATGTGTTTGAACTTAACGAAAAAAAAAGGAATGCTAGCCTATGGTTCACACAAAGAACTTGGTTTTGAGTGACACATCTTAGATTTATGAAAGGTTATGAACATCATGATGTTATAACTCTCTTTAGGAAGGCACTTAAGGCCTAGATCATGCATTTTTGTTTATATTGAGTCTTTATATTTGTCTTTTGGKTGCTTGGGGACAAGCAACGGTTTAAGTTTGGGGGTATGATATGTGTTGAGAATTTAACACATAAAGCACTCTTTTTACGTCTTTTTAGTTATATAATTTCTTTTCATTCCCACTTTGAGTCCTTTTCATTTATTTCTTTAGACATTTGTTATTATGAAGCTAAATATTGTGGTTGACTTGTTGGTATGTGTGAATAAAGCTAATTGAGAGTTTTTGTGAAAACAGCAGATGCTACAGCATTGTTGCAGAGTTTTTGTAATATCCCGTACGTTGGATATTATGGTTATACATAACATGTAAAAAATTTCATGCCTTGTGTAACACATATGATAACATGTAAATGGTTTTCATGCCTTGTGTGTATACTTGTATGTAATCATGCATATCTTGAATATGTATGTGTATCAATATTTTCATGTAAAACAAAGCATGCCAACATAATAGTAATGCATAAAATACTTCTATATATAGCATACATGTATCTCATATATCACATAAGTACTCACCTTGATTTGCCTACTTTTTCCTTTGATTCCTTTCTTCAAGCTTAATTAGGTAAATATAGAGAGATTTCTTTTTTTTTTTTTTTTTTTTTTGTATGCATAAATAGTGACCCTTAAACCCCTATTTATAGATAAATTCATTACATTAACTACTTGTTCTTTTTGCTCTAAAGATTGTACTTTTATGAGAGTTTGACACCTCACCAATAAAGATAATAGAATCTTGACAACTCATCTCTAAGGATAAGAGAATCTTTACAACTCATGCTTCTAGTACTCCTTGTCATGCTTCCTAGACTTGTCTTGTAATCAATAGTCTTGCCAACTCATAAACTTCTAGCCTTAACAACTCATCACTAGATTGCTTAGTCATGCTTACTAGACTTGCCAACACACTTTTAGCCTTAACAACTCATTACTAGTTTGCTTAGTCATGCTTATTAGACTTGCCAACACACTTCTAGCTTTAACAACTCATCACTAGCTTGCTTAGTCATGCTTACTAGACTTGCCAACACATTTCTAGCCTTAACAGCTCATCACTAGCTTGCTTACTAAATGTAACAGCTGCTGGAGTACTTGATTATGTATAAATATTTGTATTTAAGGCTGAAATATTGAGATTTATTTAATAAGAAACTAGGGTGTTACAATAGTGATAGAAGAGTAAAGGGATGCAGAAATTACTTGTGACGACACGTCATTAGCACCACGCTCAACTTCTAGGGGAAATGATGATTCCGCCATCTTAGATGGAGTTGAAGCTAACTCTGAAGCCTACAGAATTTTATAGTTCATGGTAAGTGGAATCAGACAAGACTGCAATTTAATAATGGTTCTTAATAGATATGCTATCAAGACTCACTACATCTGCTTCTGTCACCAACTTCTGTACTACTTTTTCCCCAAAAGAAAAATACAAAACCATCCTCTGAAATTCCAAAAATGAAGGTTACAACATGCAACTTCTAATAAATTTACAGCAACATGTAAAACAAGAAAGGGAAAATAAGGTACCATCAATGCATGGTGAACGCAGCATCCCAGCAGCTGACACTATTGATGTGTGTTTCATAGGGGGAGGGAATCAAAAGTGAGACGATTCCCAAGGAAGTTCAGTAATTGATATTGACTACGGGGCCGTTTATCGAACTCTTACCGAGTAAGGGGCTTACCGGGTCACTTACCTGGTGTCACTTACCTTACCGGTAAGCATGGCAAGGACCACGAATTTGCCCGGTAAGAGGCATAGCAAGGACCAAGACTTATCCGGTAAGGGACGTGACTCGTACCAAGTAAGTGCTTACCAGGTAAAAGACGCTTACTGCAATCCATTTTGATGGTCGATAATGTTACTCGATAAGTGAGGGTGATGACTCGTACGATAAGCACTTACCCTGCAAGTGATTGGTAAATGGCCCCTACCTAAGTCCCAAATTTACGTACGCCTTCAGCCTTGTGCCTTGGTCTCAAGACAAATAAGGTAAATGCTTTTCAAAGAAAAGTTTCACACAGTGTCTCTAAATCAACATATTTTGCTCATTTGATGGGTGTCATTCATAACACGTTCTATTAAAACGTTCATTGAAGACTTGCACATAATACATCATTTTCTACTAATTTATCCAAAGGTAATCTTTTGAGATGTTTTAATAAAAATAATTTAGATTAGTGTGCACTGAACATCAAAACAATAAAGGGCATACTAGTGTGAGTCATTAACTTGACCCCTACTGGTCCCTTAATGAGTCATGGTGCATATTGGAAGAAAGTTGAGGTGGTATCTTCTCATATTACAGACGTTAGGCAGTCCATCAATGATTAAAATATAGAAACATGAAATACTGATAACTGTGCCAGACTCCACATTATGCTTTTGTGAAACATAAAAGCTGACAGCAGATATAATAAACTTACCGGGTATAAGCGTCTCTTACCCGGTAAGGCGGTAACCATTAACTAGCTAAGAGTTACCACCTCACCTACCGGGCAGGATTCTTGGTCAAGAAAATGGCACAGTAAGATTGTTGGTAACGACTATCATCTCTAACCAGGTAAGTAAGAGACAACAAGGGGTCATTTACCAAACGCTTACCAGCAGGATCACCACCATCACTTATCTATCTCAGATAACATTCTCGGCTATCAAAAACGATTGTTGGTAAGCGTTTTTAACCCGGTAAGTGCTTATCGGTTAAGATTCTAGGTCTTTACAATGCTCATGCGGAAGGTAAGCGATACATGGTAAGCGCTTGGTAAACATCTCCTTAGTTTTATATGATAATAGTAATTTTCTTATATCTATGGTGTTGCTAGGACTTCATGATTCTTGAAGACTTGGGTGAAGCATAAAGCATGAAGAGAGGAAAATCAGACAGAAAAGCCCATAAAATAGAATAACTGTCCACTGTCACATGAATTAATTGATGGATACACGAAACCATGGATCAGTTTCAATGTGAAGTACGCTATATATCCAGTAGAAGATGATTACAAATCAGAATACATAAGCATCACACATGCTAGTTTTTAGAATAAACAACAATACACACAATTCACAAGTGATTATTTTTGGACTCATACACTATGCTCTCGAGAGATTTGTGCAAAAAAATATACGTATAGTTGCTTATTCACATGCAGTTTCTGGAGTCTGAATGACTTACTTGGCGTCCTTGCCTTATTATGTATGACGGTTATTTGTACTTGTATTCGTCACCTGTTTGACACATCACCCGTTTGATTGCACCAAACGTTCGACATTTCAACTTACATGCAAAATGGGACACATTTCTTTGTTTGCAATCAGTTGAATTCGAGTACTGCCCCTGTGTGATTGAACCCACACGAGATCTGCAATGCCTTCACACTCTCCCCAAAGTCGACGATGGTGGGTTCAACATAATCTACATCATCTCCTAGGCCCTGCACCCACAAGATTTGCTTAAGTTCTATGTGAATTATATTCGAGTAATAAATACTCTCTAAAAAAAGATAACAAAAAGAAAAAAAGAACACAGCTTTTTTCAAAACCAAATCAAATAAACCCAATATATCAGACACAGAGATAGAATGTATGCAGACCTTTCCTCTACCCCAAGGGGTAGAGAGGCTGTTTCCGATAAGACTCCCGGCTTGCAAAACAAAATCTAAAAGGAAACATGTGCGCAAAGTAGCAGAAGATTGTGTGCAAACAAGAACACAGGTATAGTGTGAGGTAACACACTATTAAAGCAGGAGGAACACTATGCCTGGCAAACAGGAAAAGCAAGTAAAATTAAGGTTGGCATATGGTAAAAACAGAAAGTAATAAGACTACCAAACAGTAAAGGTTCCATAAGTAGATGCATAAATAAGACATGGAAGGTAGGGAAAACTAACACCACCCTCTATCTAACAGGCAACATTTTTGGTGGTTGCATATTCTTATCAGGCAGTCCCAAAGCAGAGACCACTTCTTCAAAATCATATCTCTCTCCCTCTCTCGTACGTTTATACTTTCCAAAAGACAGTTTATTCAAAACACTTGTCTTAAACCATTATTTGAACAGTGATACAAACTGGGAAGAGCAAAGTTTCTCTCATGTCAAGGAGAGGAAGAATAAGAACATTTACAGTCTATGCCTGTATATGACTTCAAAGGGATGAATGAACCTCATCAAAGATGATAAGGAAGAAAAGTTAAATAAGCAAGTAATATGAGAATTATAAGTAGGTTTGAATGTCATATGGTTTGCAGTGACATTTAATATAAACTACTGATGATATTCTATACAATGCGGTTGAATATGCTTCGATTCAATTAAGCATCCGACACATCACCATGAACATACTTATCATTTACAAGAGTTGTGTCTCAATAGACTGACCAGAAGAAGATGGACAGTAAAATATATTCTAGTGGAAGCGGGAACAGACCAGTTGTCCGCCAGAAGAATGCTCGTCTTCCAAAAAGGTGCCCATCGCGCCACCCCAACCCCATGTATAGACATTGCCATCTGCATATTAGCAACATTACACAAAAAGTAGCAATAAGAAATAACTATATACCAAACTGACAAGATCAACATAAGAAGTCCCTTTTCTCATTCAATTACTTCTAAAAAAAAGACTTGATTATCTTCTACAAGAATGTAGTGTTGAGCAAATTAATATAGGGCATCAATTTCATCCTCTCCATCCGTAAGTGTAACAATACTACACATGCATATACTGTGTTTTCTTGTACCTGCTTCTATCTATATGTTGTTGCCTACTCATAACTAGCTTTCCATAAGTTATCGTATCTGCCTTTATTGTCTCGAATTCTTTTTCGTTATCTTCCTCTTTTTTTAATATTTCCTCAAACTTTTTGGGCTAAATTTCTCTCTTTCACACCCTTTTCACATGCCCAGGGTCTTCACGGAAACATCCGCTCTACTCTTTGGGGGTAGAGGTCAGCTCTGCAGTACATCTCCGCACTGCTGTCCGGGGGAGGACCCCACCTTCGGGTAGGAAACAGTGTGTTCATTTGGTTTGGTTTATCTCATTTGATCGACAAAAGCTGCAACGCTTTCGGGTAGGAAAGGCTGCTTGTTTTTATTTTACTTTATACATGAGAAGAGTTTACAAAATGGTTTCTAACATAAAGGAACTTACCAGAAATAGCAGCTGTATGCTTCCAGCCACATGATACCTGCCGATAAAAGGTGTCACACTATTAAAACACAAGCCAAGGAACAGCAAAAGGGGGAGAAGGAAAGATGTATCTTTGGGATGGTTTTGTCAGCCTAAAGCTTTAATGGTGATTAAATTACAGGAAACTGACCTTGCAAACAGAATGCCTCACGAATGGACCTTGAACTCTTTCTGGCTCATAAACACTATGTGTATCGCTGAGATAAGAGAATGTGATTATTACCTACTTATTTGAAATGAAACTGGACGGCATGTTTAGTCCATAAATATCTTAGATTTAATTTTATCGACATACCCAGTACCGAGACAACCATTTTCGTTGGAACCCCATGTATACAGTTCTCCACCTCCTTTGTGATAAAAGTGACCAAAAAGAGTTTGAAGATAGAAAGACAGATAGCATTAGCACATATGATAAGAAGGCAGCAAAAGATCTAAAGTCAATAAGACAGGTCATCCTTTCATGTTTGATCATGATGGTATTTTAAGATTTATGATATTCCATGTGAACTTAATATAGCTAAACGATAAAAAAAATGCAGAATGCGTCCTTTAAGAATCTAGCAATGCTATTACTCGTTCATTTTCATTTCCCAATCATTTCTACATAGTTTACCTTAAACATTTTTAAGCAAACTCCTCCATCCCAAGTATATCAAAACAACACATGGGCATAGTTGGTTTGCTCTACTAGTTATGAAACACCGTTTCGACATAGGGAGGTGAAGAAGTTGATTGTTGCCTACAGCATCTTATTTAGATGGCAACAAAGAAACTTATCTGATCCCAGACTATCTTCAGGCCTAGGTGAGCAATAAATACTCCATAGGGTGTATAAATTGTACAGCAACAGGAATGATTATATCACTCTCTTCTTCTATTAAACATTCTCATAATCCAAAAGGATCACAGTGATAAAAGAGTAAAGGGATGCAGAAATTACTTGTGATGACACATATGTGATTAGCACCACATGCAACTTCTTCAGCAAATGGTAATTCCCCAATCCTAGATGGAGTTGAAATTGTATTTCCTTCTCTGAATCCCTTCATAGAGTTTTATGGTTCATGATCAGTGGAATGAGATAAAAGTGCAATATCATATCTAATTGGTTCTTAGTAGATGTGCTATCAAGAGTCGCTACGTCTGCTTCTGGCACTTACCAACTTCTGTACTGCTTTTTCCCCAAAGACAAATACGGAACCATTCTCTGAAATTCATAAATGAAGGTTATAACATGCACACTTCAAACATAACTCCAAATAATTTTACAGAAACATGTAAACAAGAAAAAACAAAAATAAGGTACCATCAATGCATGCCGAATGCAACATCCCAGCAGCGACACTTTTAATCTGTGCTTTATGCGAACATTGGAGGGGGATGGAATCGAAGTGAGAGAACATTCACAAGAAGTTCAATAGTGAGAGATTTCCATGAAAGTTCAATTAATGATATTGTACTACCTCCTTCCCAAATTTAAGTAAGCCTTCCGCCTTGTGCTTTTGTCACAAAATAAACGAGGGAAATGCTTTTTTTTCAACGAAGATATTTAAGCAAAACTTAGTATAAACTTGATCACAATTCACTTCTTCTTTTCACGAACAATGTCCCTTAATCAACATATTTTGCTAATCAAATGCATGTTGTTCATAAAATGTTCTATGGAGATGTTCATTGAAATTTTACACATAATACCATATTATTTTCTATTAATTTATCCTTGAAGGTAATCTTTTGAGATGTTATAAAAGGCATCCTAATGGGTACTAGAACAAATGCTATAGTCATTACCTTGACACCTTCAAGCCCCTTAATGAGCCTTGGTGTATATTCACTGCATCAGAAGAGAGTTGAGATATTATCTTCTCATACCACAGATATTAGACAATCCATCAATAGTTAAAATATGGAACATGAAATACTGATAATTGTGCCAGATTTAACATCAATGTGCTTTTGTGAAAGTATAAGCGGACAGTAGAGAAACATTAAACTTCTTACAAGATGGATGCTAGAAAATATAAATGGCGTAAATAGAGTATGGGGGAGTAACAGCAAAGAACTAAAACTTCCTAATCTTTTTCTTTCCTTTGTTTTTTCATCTTCTACACCACCTGTGAACGTTTTCTTTTTATTTAGTTCATCTTGACTTCCATAAGAAAAAAAGGTTAACGATATGTACGAAGAAACAAAACTAAAATGAACAAAAAGAATTGCTGATACTGAATCTAAACTAGAAGTGCTTTGCTATGTAAAGAGGCCTCATCTTCCTACCACAGGTACATTATATAGACAGTGGACCTCTGTTCTTATGTTTACAGGTACATTCTGAAAAGAATGTAACAAAACAAGAAAACAGTCAGGCTGCTGAGCACATCATCAGAAGATAAATGAGCAAACCCGATTTGGTCACCAGGATTGAAGTCAGAACATGTTATTTGGAATATTTGAACTTAACATATTGGGTCAATTTTCTACAGGCACAGAATGTGATGCTCAATATACCTATGAACTATTGGAAGTTATCAAGACTCATCAGCTTTTCTTTACAGATATGTATGTTGGAAGAACGAAATGTATATAGATTAACAAAGACCTACTACTTAGTAAGGTACAGATGATATCAAGTATCCTTTTTATGCCACTAGATACTGCAAATGATTTTAGATGGCCAAAATGAACCTGGTAGAACTCAGAAAGCCCAAGAGGCTTGATTTGTGTCCATGACCAAGCCTTCCATACTCTCCTCCTCCCCAACTTAAGACCTCACCTTTTTCTGAAACACATGCCAACCAATATTAGAATAGACCAATCTCCATATCTGTGCAGAATAAATCACAAATCCTCATCGTACTTCCATTAGAAAGGACAAAAGTACTCATATGTCTCTAACCTGTAACAGCAATAGAGTGATCAGAACCCAAAGCAGCCATCTTAACAGGGACTTCACTGAGAAAATCTACTTTACTTGGGACTGGAATCACCTTTGCTGCCTCTGCAAAGTTCCTTATGTCAGCCCTTTATTTCCACTTGCAGACAAATACTGTATGTCGGATTCATGTGGAGGTAAACAAGTTCTGCTTTAAAAAATGAAATCATTGAAAGAAAACAACTATTTCACGAAATGGATCATCTAGCATCATATCATAGAAATGGTCTGCATAAAAAAGGGTTAACATTCTATATCAACAATAACCCTGGCATTTGTTGGTAACTAATAAATGAAGAACCACATATATACATCTTACTCCTTCCAAGCCCAAGTTGACCACTAGAATTCTTGCCCCACATATACAGTTCTCCACTTTCTGCAATTTAGAAGCATGTTTAAGCACGAGAACTGGAGAAGGAGAAAAGCACAGACATGGACCAATCAGAGAAAATAAATAGAACAAATTAACAATATGGATAAGAGATCCATTTGAAGTTCATATATCTCTATGGAAATCTTCACTTAATCGGATGTTGCAAACCTGTAATTGCTGAAGAGTGATAATAGCCAGCTGAAATTTTCACAATATCCTTGGGAAGTCCAGAAACTTCAAGTGGGTCCTGCAATGGTAAGTCAATCCACATCAATTTAACATTTATATAAGTTTCATAGAGAATGTAGTGATAGATGCATGGGAAGAATTTAAGCCCTTGCTAGGGAATAGAAGTTATTTATGAAATTCAACCACATAACAAAGACTACAAGAAATATTGATATGATTAGAGAGGGAAGAAAGAGTTCCAATATCAGGACAAATACATGTAAAGTATTAATTTCTGCATTATCTTGCCTACAAAGCTTCCACTAGAAATAAATGTGTAAGGAGCAAATGGCTTACAACTATTTTTGTTTTTAAGGGCATAATAGCAACTTGATTGGACTATTGAGTATGGATGAATAGAACATCCTGTTATGGCTGCTTCAACCAGGAGCATCTTTTAAGACTTGGAGTTTATTACATCAGGTCATGGTCGACTTCTTAAACCAGACATGGAAAGATTAGTTTAGCTCACCTATGAGGAATCTTCCAAGGTGCAGTCCAAAGTCGAACTCTACCAATACCATACAAGCAGTGATAGATCCATGGTTTTTGATAGAATGGCAAAGAAGACTAATGAACAGAAAAGCATTTAGCTTATGTCAAAGATTAAAAAGTGTAAGAGGTATAAACCGACTCCTACCTCATGTCACTTTCAAAACATCATGTGTCCACTACTCTCAAATCAGCCCCTCTTGCTACACTGGTCGTTTACTTACAAATACCCTTAAAGAGCTCTTCCCAACCAAATACCTTTCAGACTCTTTCCAAGTTAAGGCTTTCAGCATTGTTTAATAAACTAGACATGTTTTTAACAAAACAAACCCTTCTCAGCCCCTGAGGAGGGCATGCAGCTCAAAATATAGAAAATCCTGTCATTCCAAATAGTTTTTTCTTTTACCTGAAACCCTAATGCACAATATTAAAATTAACCAATGATAAGTTTAGCACTCAAACTACCATGGAATTATGGCTAGCAAGTTTACAAATATGTGATACTGAACAACCAAGCAATGAGAGACAAAGGGGTCATATCATGACAAGCATGAAATACCGTACAATTGTGTAGCTTCTACCATCTGACACACCCAGTTGGCCATAGTCATTGAGTCCAGCAGCATATACATCTCCAGTGTCTGTAAAACATGAACTGATCCATCAGGTTCATAACTCAATGATGGAACTATAATGTAAATTCTAAGATTGCTACAACTTAATGCTAGATCAAAGCCCTGCCTTAAAGCCAAAAGAGAAATAAGCTTTGTCATATAGTAATAAGATACTTCTAAAACACATTCAAAGGCTACACTGATATTGGTACTGGATGCCAAACTACTATTATAAAACCTTGATAGTTCATACACATGAGTAACCCTTTCAGTACCCTGTCCATCGGGAAGCATTTCGGGTATCTAAAAATATGAATAGGTTTCCTAGTATGAAACATCTCTAACCTTTAAGACATCACCACTATCACATACTAACCTCATGTTCCACATAAATATTTCAGAAATTCTACAAAATTTGCATATTATTGCTACTTCTGGTCAAATGCCTTAAAATACTTTGAACTTCTTGTGCGTTATAATATATTTATCCATGCTTTGTGACTAAAGCGACACCTAAAGTTGGCCATGTGCAACACTTCACGACCCACAATACATACCACGTCTGAGATTCTTAGAAAAATTCAGCACGTTATTCTTACAAGACTTGTATCATCCATGATCCCCCACGTACTAAGCGTCTAAACACATCATTCATAGAAGCAGCAATCAAGTATAAGCAACTTTTACCTGTTAAGAACAAGGTGTGAGCCCCACCACATGCAATCTCACGGAGATTTCCGTCGCCAAAAGCCGAACACAAAGCCGGCCTCCATTTCGATTCCAAGCTACCCAAACCCAACCTCCCATAATCACCATTTCCCCATAGAGCCACAAACCTCCGGTTCTTGACATTTTCAATGTCAGTAATCAATTCCTGTTCTTCACACGTCAAAACCCTCATAAACCTCCTTTGGCAAAACCCTATTCCCAGTTTCTGGTTTGCCGAAGCCGATCTTGAAATTCTCATCACAAAACGTGTAGCAATCGCCATATTGAGCCAACAACAGCCCTATTTTCGATCATAACACAGTTTATGGAATAAATAAATGAAATCAATTTGGTTGAGGAATTCGGAGAAGAAGCAGAGAAGAGGAAGTGCTTACATAAAACACAGGAGAAAACCCTGAGGCGTGGAGGGTGTAGTTGCCGCTTGTATTAGAAGGAATCGGCATTTTATATGTTTGGGAGATATTGCTTTTCCTAAATTGCCCTTTCAATTCAAAAAATTTCACTTACGTTGATTTGTAAAAAAGGTTATTAAATTGATAAATCATGTTATTTAATTTTGGTACATAACATTTCTAATTTTCTACGGATGTCGTTTTTAAACTTCAAACACTTATTCGGTAAATGTTTATTGGGTAATTTTTCCCACCTGATGAATATAACAAGAACCGAAAATCTTATCCAGTAAGAACAATGATATGGATAGAGAGTCTTACCCGAAATGATGGTAATAACTCTTACATAGATAAACGTTTACCGGGCAAATTGTTACATATGATACCGTTTTAATATATTACAATCTTACCTAGTAAAATAAATTACAGTGTTGACTCATAATGATAAGCACTTACCGGGTAAACATTTCGATAAACAACCCCTAACTATTGTTAACTTTTTCATTAATCTAATTAAATGAGTGTATTTTAGTCATTTTCACTATTATTTTTAAATTAACTTAACATCATAAAACATGCTATATTTTTACTTTTAACTTGTAAAACATAAAAGATAACCACTATATTTTTTTCTATTTTAATATAATGATTAAAATATTTTTTTATTTAATTGGACTTAATAGAAAAAGTTAACGATCGTTAGATGATGGATCAAAACCGTTAGAAGTTGACAAATATAAGGGACCAAGTCTGAATTTTTAAAATTTAAAGGGACAATATCTGTTAAAAATTATTTACTCATCAGGTTACTATTAATTTGAATTGAAGTAGGATAAACTACGATTTAGCCCTTGGACTTCGTTTATTATGAAGATTATCTAGTATGCATTTTTTTATGGATCAAAAGAATTTAACGGTAACTTGGTATTTTGTTATTTCCTCAAGGCCCCCTCTACATCTCTTCTCCAAAGCAATGATGACGAGAAAACTAAGGTGGCGTTTGGTTCGCTGGAATTCGTCGGAAGCGGATGAAATTGGAATGGTCAATTTCGTTGACTAAATTTTATGCCGATGTTTGGTTACCCATGGAATGGAATTGAATTCCAAATATTCCCTCATTTAAGGATTTCACCATTCTTTCATAAAAGAGATGGAATTGAAATTTATTTCATCCAAAATTTTATAAATGACAAAAATACTCTCATTACAACTTAATAACCCTAGGCGCACCTTTTTTCCATTCTCATCTACTGCTTCCAATATCGAACCTGGTTTCTCTCATCTTGAATGACTTGTTTCACCTTCATCATCAATCGAAGACTGGAGATACAATTTCTACTTATGATTTCTGCTTCCGATTTATGCTTCTGAATTCGATTATGCATACAGTTTCTTCTTCAAATTTCGATTTATGCATACAATTTTTGCTTCGGATTTTGATTTCTGCTTACTGTTTTCTATTTTTTGTACGATTTATGTGTCCGATTTTTGTTCTGATTTTTGTTACTTTTTCTGAATTATGTTCCGAGATGGCAGCCAAACAGAGCTCACAAAAATCTAAAAAGTCAAACAATCTGCTCATTAAAATTTAATTTTATTAGTATTGTGATTAAAAAAATATCAAAGAAAGGGTATTTTTTATCTTCATCATTCATTCTGATTTTGTTGTAAATCAAACATGCATATTCCAATTCATTGGACAGATTACATTTCATTCTTGTCAACCAAACACTTGATCAAATATGATAACATTTCATTCAATTCCTTTCATATTCCAATTCCATTGACAGATTCTATTTCTTCAGAAATCATTCTGCAAACCAAACACCCGCTAAAAGATTTGGTTTCAAAATTGAATTCATGGCTTTTGAGTTAATTCATGATTTGATTTATGTGTTCAATTTAAGGTCATGGACAAGATTTTGATCGTGATTGCAGCATCCTGGATTTTGATTTTGTTTTCAGGCCATGGATAGGATTTTGATTTCTCAGGAGTTTCATCCGTAGAAAAAGATGAACATTCAAAGACCTTCCAGCCTAGTGGTAAAGGCTTGGGCATGGCATAGTCATGAACCCAAGTTCGAGCCCTGGAAGGGAAGTGTTGGCGACATTTAAGTGGGGCCATATTTAGCCTCCAAATTTGCCGGGAATTAATCGGGCTTTGGCCCGGACACCCTTAAAAAAAAAAAAAAAAGATAGAGGGAAAACATTAAAATGGAGAATGGCAAAGATTAAATTGCCCTCGTAGTTAACGAAGATGATGGATGGAGTTTGGTCCAGAGACCCAATCATGAAAATATTGCATACAATTGAATAATTTACATAATAATGAAGTTTATGGACCAATTATATAAAAACTCTCCTACCACGTAACTTACTGTAATTACAATTAACTATGAGGTACCAAATTAGTAATAAATTGTAACCCAATGGGACGGAAAAACTAACGAACTGTAAAGTACAAGAATGAAAACCATAATTTCAAAATCACAAGAACGCAGATAACAATTTTTAGCAAACCAAAAACATAATTTACTCTGTGAATCGAGTGAGAAAATATGTATTTGGTGGCTTTTGAGCAAAATACTCTAATATAGGATTTAAACCATATTTTCTTTCGGTTGTCATTTTAATTTTAAACCCTTGAAGGTGAATTATGTGAAATCTAAAATAAGAATCGAATGTAAGTACTTTTCATTTAAATATAGTTTGCCTTTAAAATAGAACTTTTTAATTCGCATGTAAGATAATACTGATATTATATGTGGCAAAAAAGGAAGATACACAGAAACAGTTGCTCTGTTTTTTTTTTTTTTTGCAATAGCCGTATCTAAAGGTGCTCAAAAGTCCGACCAACCTGATCAACCCAACCCAACTCAACGGCAAAATAACCCAACCCAACTCAACGGCAAAATAACTCAATCCGAAGTAACTCGATGTCTAATCGAGTTTTAAAATTTTCAAACCGTAGATATTGAGTTACTATTATTTGAACTCAACTCAACCCGATGAACCCGATATCCTTATGTTTCTTGGATTTAATATGATTGTTGAATTTATATTAATATATACATTAGACAATTACACTATCACGTACACTCTTCATACATATTTTCAATTTATTCACATATCTATATAACTCATTTGTATATATGTTCAGTAACTATAAGCATATGTAAATTGAGAAAATTAACTGAATGTAATATATGTAATAAGTATGTATAAGTTGTATCAAATAATTGATAATGAAAAAGAAATTATGAGTAGAGAATTACATATTCAAGGTTCGAATAATATTTTAATGTACCAAAGTATCAACCCGACCAATTCATACGGTTTAGGTTGGGTTGGGTTGGGTTGCACTTTGATTTGGGTGGGGTTGAGTTAAGATTTTTCAAACTGTAAGCATTTGGTTGGGTTGTTCAAATGTCTTCAACCCGATCAACCCAACCCACGAACACCCCTAGGCATATCCATATACATCTCAGCCCCACACCCAACTTTCAAATGGGATATATACGGCTCAAATGAATGACTTTAAGGAAAATGAATAGAAACAGTTGCTCTACTTTTTTACGGTACCCCACACCTATTTTTTCAAATGGGATATACCGGGTGATAAAATCTTGCTAAGTACATGTATCTATAATGTATCAGCTCTTGCTTTTCTCCACCATCCAAGTTGTGAACCACTAAACCCTACATAAAGTTCTTGGTACTATTTACATGATGCTACTTACCTATTTATAAGTGAGGTTTCAGGCTCGAATTTGGGCACCATCCATTTGTCTTTAGGACACTGTAATTTCCCATGATGGTTGTGGGACCAGTACAGTGGAGACATTTGAAAGGGCGGTGTATGCCTTTTTTTTAAAGTAAGACACGGTTATTGAAGAACCGAACTAAGAACCCAGAAAGAAAATGATTTTACAGACCTTTGTTATTCTACCCAATTTATATCCAAATCTTTCAGTTTCACAAGCCACTTCTCCCTGTCCTGCGAAACATCGTGCTTCGATGGTGCCTTGTCAGCATCGTTCACGTTGTTTCTCATTCTGTTAGGATGCCTCACCTTGAGCGAGAGAAGACGCGAGACTTCATGTAGGCCACCCCATTTCTCCAATGCACGAGCTATGTCATAGCGACCTACAGAAAACATCCCCTCTAATATGAGAAGGATTACCATGAAGTTGCAAGTCCAATAGAACTTCCAACACAATAAAGAAATAGATCCGTAAATCAGACAAAACAAACCCATTTATCTCATCAGAAGGCAGGGTCTAGGGTAAGATCTACGCAGACCTTACCTCTGTCTCAAGAGATAGAGAGGTTATTTCCGAGAAGACCTTCGGCTTGTGGAAAATAGAGCCATAAATCAAACCAAACAAACCCACTATTACTCACCTGAAGGTAGGGTTTGGAGTAAGATGTATGTAGGCCTTACTTCTATCTCAAGAAACAGTTAGGCTGTTTCTGAAAAGACTGAGCACAGCCTGTTGGTTGCCTCTCCATCGGGGAAATCCAGYCTTTATAGTTCAGCTAGCCTGTTAGGCGCTGTGTAAGAGCTCTATGCCATCTATCGAATAGCGGGCAGTGCTGCTTGATTGACTGCTTTAAAGTTTGAAACAAGTCTWGGATTCGGAAGAGAAGTAGGCATAGAGGATAGTGAGAAAGATGGTTAACTGCTTGCTAACTGCTTAAGATTTAGGAGTGCCGGCTCCAGGCTAGAGAAAAGATAGGCTATTACTGCCTCACCGATCAAATAGACGGGAAACACTGAACTTTTTTTTGGGTAAAGGGGATGAAACCCCGGGTAAAACTTGTTTCCAAAAAGAATAATGAACTACAGGACTAAAGAGGGCATACTCTTCCAGAACTAATAATTCTAAACAAAAATGCTATGGCAAAAGAGGGGGAGGTGGGTTGGTGACCTGGTAAGCTAGAATTTTGCAGTATTGAAATTGGTACTATTTGTGTTCTAAAGTTAAAGATGTATATTTTCTTTTGCAGCTAAACTTACCACTTACAAACTACCTACATGATTTGGTTTTACTTGTTATTGTATTTATCTTGATGACCGGAAACCCTGTTATTGGTGGTCATTTTATGTTAAATGTAACAAAGAATTAGTACCGAATCTAAATCACTTTTGGACCCCAAAACACTACTTCTTTGGCCATGACATTAAAAAAACTCTGATTTTGGAAAACAGTATGTGGATTTGTTGTTCACAACAAGCTAACGAGAAACGCAAATATAATGATTGGTGCAGTGGATGTGTCTTATAAGATGGAAATCAAGTATATATACCTCCACGCTCAAATGATTTTCTACTGGGCATAAAGGCTGGATCCATCCCCCAACTCTTCTGGAAACGACTAATCTGTAAGGGTAAAAAAAGAAATGAACGATTTTACAAAAAAGAATTCGACACAGTTAATTCGGCATACCAGATATAGCAACTATGGCAGATGCAAAATATTCTTCATACAGCATTTAACAATTATAAGGAATAGTTTTCGAACTTGGAACTCAAATTCCATTGAAAAATTGGAACATATTTGATGCTCATAGGAAAATGTAGTCTTGTACGTAGCAATCACAGTAAATATGATGAGCATGAAAGATCATACATGAATCATGATTTTCTCAAAAGTCAATTAATGGTCATCTATTCAAATACTTATGTTACGACTCGGACTAATTGTCACCGATCAAACACTCCTTTCATCCCAAAATAAATGTCCACAATAAAAAAACACAGTTTTAGAAATGTAGTAATTGTCACACGTTTAATTAATTGAATGTCACTTTTACCCTTGATAAAAAAGCACGCAGTTTTAGAAATGCATAATCATTCCACTGATGATTGCGGTGAGGGATGAACAAAAATCTAGAGCTCTAATTCAAAATTCTCTTTTTCTCAATCATCATCTCTTAAATATTCGTGCGTCATACAGAATTGGCAATTTAGTAAATCATAACCATCTATTTATGAAGGTGGACACTTATTCTTTTTTGGGTAATTGTGGATTTGGGTTTCCGGGCCCGCTTACATGCCCCGACTAATCCCCCGGGCAAGCAAGAATGGCCTAGAGATAGGTGAACCTCCATGGCCATAAGGGCTATGGCAGCGCCCGGATTCCAACCCGGGGAAGAAGAGATTTCCACTACATCCCCGTGAGCCTTAACAGAGCACCACAACCCAAGTGGTTGGTTAGTGGACACTTATTTTTGGACAGACATAAAAAGAAATCTGGACACTTAGTTTGGGATGGAGAGAGTATAACCGTTTCCTGAAATGGACAAAAAGGTAAGAGTACAGAAACAGACCTCTTCTTTCAAATTCTCAAGCTGATCCCAGTACCCTTTTGGTTTGGGATCCTTGTAAGCAAGGGAAAGATTCATCAATGAAGCAAACTTTCTGAATCCTCCTCTCCGTGAGATCGCCTTTTCCATATCAAACCTTCCATGCTTCCTGAGTTGGCTTCTCATTGGCATAAACCCTTCTTGTCCATGTTCTGAAATGAATTTCAGGAGCTCAGATTTGAGTACTTCTATATCCTTGTGCAAGCCAATAACCCGGTGTCTTTGTCTAGAAGGAATTTTAGCATTGCCTTTTGATGAGTATTTTGATGGATATTCGATCGTGACAAGATCACTAGTATATCTAACGTTCGATCTAATATCTTCGTCTCCCATGTCTAATACATCATTACATTCTTCGACAGAACTTTCTGCTTCCTTTTTCTCGATATAATCACGAATTGCACACAAGTTCGATGGGAGATCTTCATAGATGACCTATATTTGTCACATGGAATCAAGATTTAAAATTGTATAGAGATCAAATCAGAATCTACAACTCATATGAAAAAATGCATGTTCCACAGTGATTTGATGCACACTAATTTCATTGAAAGCTAGACGCAACTATGACTGAAGATTCAATGATAATGTTTTGAATTTAACATATCGGTCTCTCTCTTTCTATTGATATAGCTACTGCTTACTAATATCTAGCTTTTCAAATTTTAGCATATCTGTATTCTCCCTTCCACACACGTGTTATACCCTGTTTAGTGTGGTCAAAATTGGTTGGTTTGGTACAAGTGTCTACTGCAGTAGTACAAGTAAGTAATGCAGTTGGATAGTATAAATAAGAGGCTTGAGGGTTTAGGCGGGTCATTCAGTTTTTTAAACAACTTTTTGGACACGAGTCCTGCAAGAGATTCTGGCCTCTCGAAAGCCAGAAAACCCTTATAAGTATTCGATTAGTGAGAATCATTAGGTTTCCTTTGAATTCAATCTTTTGGTTTTCCCAGTGTACATCACAGAAACAGCCACTCTACTTTTTAGGGTAGAGGTCAGGTCTGCATACATCATGTCCCCCCCTCCCAACCCACCTCCGTATGGGATGTATTGGGCTCGTTGTTGTTGTATAACATTTTGAATCATAATATGAATGCCAACATACCATTCTGCAAGAATCATATGCACAAAAGCTTGAGGGCAGTGTAAGTTACCATTATGCTAGGCCAAAGAAGCTATAACAATTAACAAAACAAACTAGCACACCTCTTCCATGATGGCCTCAGAAAGCAAGGAGCCCTGATGCATCTTTGACTCCACGCTGTATTTCAATAAGGTATGGTGATTGCCAAGTTGTTCCAGTAGCCATCTCCCTTTGAAAGAATCAAAATCACCTTCAACCTGCTCAAAGGTTATCTCTTGCTCAAGATGTTCACACAGATCCAGGACAACACGTGCGTGAAGTACCATGTACAGTAATCCTTTGCATCCTTCCTGGATAATGAAACAATCGATTGGCTCCTGTAAGTATCATGGCATTGAATTGTAGTAGCCAACCTGAGGTGAAATTGCTTCTGCATGTAGCGAGTTGGACTTCACACTCAAGTATATACATATACATATACACGCATATGTTTTTCTGAAAACAGCTTCTACTTACATCAAATTTTACTTGCAACATTTTAAGCAAAGTCATAAACCAATGCAAGAAAAGCGGAGATAAAGAGTTCAGAAGAATATCAGATATTTTCTTTGTACCATTATGAAGAAGAAAATCCAATTGAAGGGTAAATAATAATACTGTTTCTGCATTAACAAAAGTAATAAAGCTTTTCTAATATGTGCTCTAGTACTTCACCTATCATTTTTCCATAGAAAATTTTCTGGCCAAATCAACTTAAGTATAGAAAATTTTCTGGCCTAATCAGCCAAAGCGAATAAGAACACAAGAACCCGGATACAACACAAAGTGGCTCAAATTCTTAAGAACATCATGCGTATACATGTGATCCTATGAAAGAAAAACCAAAATTACCTGAAGAATCCGAACTTTGTTGTTTTCTCGTGCTAAAATCTTGCAAATAGCTAGATTTGGAACTATCCTGCCAAGTAGTTTTTTGCGTAACAGACAGCATCAGGAAGACAAGCATAGCATTTCAAGGAACAACCATATAACAATTTTAAGCACATATATTTCTATAAAAGCTCTGGTATACATCTGTCAGCTATAGTAAAGAAGGTGTCTGTCTTTCCTCTTGCACTAACCCCCACTTACCTATTCCCCCATTCCACCTCTGAACATTTTAACTTATTGTCATCTACATCAGCATGATCCTGGAAAACAATTAGCATCCTATCTATTGAAAACACCAGTTTGCATCGTTAGGGACTCGGGCGAAAAAAACATGGATCTTATAGCATAAGTATAGCAATTTCACCTAGATGAATTGTAAAAAAAAGAACATATAGTGCTATAGTGAAGCTTGTACATTACTCGTAGAATCAACAGGTATAATGCTACTTACTCAGGAAGGTTCTCATAGGAAGTCAAAACATTCCACACTTCACGAACAGGAGCTTTCACAGTTATGCTTGCAACAACACATCGGTGAACACCTCCGTTTTCCTGTAATGCAAAGCTATTATTAGATACTGCAAAGAGTAGCTTCTCCAATCCCTCCGAAAGACAGAGAACAACACAAAATTAAGAATATTCTACAGCAAGCCAATTACCAATAGGCCATCAAATCTTCGAAGATGAATTTCATCCGCCTTGCAAGGACTATCAAGGTCACAAGTTTTGCCAAACACTCCCCAGTTGTTTACTTCGGCAGTAGATTTGGACAAGGGACTAAAACTAGAGTTTGGTTGTCTCTCCATATTCTTCTCTCTACTACCGTCGATATCTATGGTGGTAGAAGCTACAGACAGTGTAGCTGAATGAGCTTCTGTACTTGTATTCTCGTTTCCTTCAAACCTTCTCTCAGATCTACGTGCTAAAGCTTGAAGATTCACAGGGAGGTCAGATCTAATAATCCTCTCCATAAATATTGCAGGAAGGTTGAAGTTTGGTATTACATTAACTTCATAAGACAGAATTGCCGATGAAGACCTGCGACAGACAGAATTACTCATGATTGCCTAATTGGTCATGATTGTATTTTTATTGATATTAAATGAAGCAAGGAGAATAGAGAATCTTATGGGAAATCATGTGAAGCTTCAAAATTCTCACAGGGAAGGAAACAAACAGGTATTGATCAGGCAGTCGTCAGCTTTCATGCACAATTAATTACAAGCACTTTAAAACTTTTGATAAAGCTCACATTCATCATCACCAGGATTATTAAATACCTGTTAACATAATCTTGTTGGGATGCCCATATATTTAGTTTATCTTTCTTCTATCCTTGCTGGGATTAAGCCTATATGCTATCTCTAGTATCATAGGAATAATCACATCTCCCCCACCCTATTTTAACTTACATTTACAAGTTAGGTTTATGCCCTATTTTCCCCTCTTATTTATAATTTTTGAATAAAACCCCACCTGCAAGCTAGAGGGCTTGAAGTGAGCCAACTAGGTTCTGCCGTGAGTTCTTAAAACTATGAATGCTGCAGAAGTAAAAGAAAACTTCACAGTAGTGCAACCATTTGTGAATGTATATTTTATTGGTCCACAAATGTATTGACTTCTTTCACTTGTCCAAAAAACTTCAAAATACTTGATGCGCTCCTCGTCTTATGACTTGGTGATAGGTTTTCCCTTCTCTTTTTCTATTTGATTACGTTACAGAAAAGTTAAGTTGTTAGTTAGGCTTAAGGATTTTGTTTTAGTTCATACACATTGGTTTTTTAATCATGATTGGACAAAGAACATGATCTCTGGTAAAGTCACAAAAGTTCAAGCAAAACAGAACTTCCTAAAAGCAAAGGTATCCTCAGTCACAGAGGAAAATCCAGTTATATGCTCAATGGACGACCATTTTTCAACCAAAGAGGCATGACTGACCATCTTCAAGGATCATCTATAATTTCTGTTTGAATAAGATTACAATGGCTTTGCTAAATTGATCCATCATATAAGGTGGTTGATAAAGCGAGCAGAGTTTTGGGAACAAACAACATAAATATGTGTGTGTTGTCTATGCATGTCAAAACTACTAGTTCCCATCAATTCATTCCTTTATTAATATTTTCAGGGAAGTAAGAAAATACATCAAAAACATGAGAACTTAATTAGAACTTAGAAACCTCTTGCAGGAATGACAAATGAACCTAGAAGTCTGTCTGTTTTCAGTCCAATATTCGGGTATTAACATAAACACACAGCAGAAGACAAAAACAACCTACTGTAGATAAAAAAAATGATACATCAATGGTTTACAATCTTTGTTGGAACTTGAAAGTATCACTAGAATAAAGATTCTACCTTCTCCCAGATTTGACACACCATTTGCCTTCGAATTTCTTAAAATCTCCATCAACCATAGAGAAGTGAAGTTCATGACCATTAGCCTGAACTATGAGAAATTGTTACAGTTAGCAACTGAATCAAGAGGATGCCTGTATAATTAGAAGTTCCCAGATATCAATTTGATGGGTGCATATTTTAAATACAGTGTGATCTTATCAACCGATATCCTAGTAACAGAATTTCAAACGATAATGCATGTTAAATGTGGCATGATTTACGCATCGGATGCATTAATTTAATTTCAATCACATGGCACACCAAAAGGAAACACAAAAATATATCCGTTCCTTATATCAGAATGTTTCAAAATCTACCACTAAGAAGTTTGTAGCATAGTCATGATTTCAAACATGTCAGCAATTGATGCTTGCGAAGTGGTGAAGCGTTCGAATATCGGAGCTAACAAAAGTTCTATAGGCTGACAAACTATCTCCTTTGGTCTTCTAGCTCAATACTGTCTTTAAATTACAGTTATAGTCACCATCCAGTTTACGAAACTGCCATGAGAAATACTATGTTCTCTAATGGTGCACAAAACAACGGTTGAACATCATTCAGAGTTTGTTTATAGTGATATCAACGGTTGAACTTAGCCTTTTTTCTAGAATAGACCTTTTATATTCACGTTAGCAATTGCCAAGATTGGTAAATATAAAGTGAAACAATGGCACATTTCCTTTCCTGGTGCCGTGATATAAACTAAAACACATGCATACACAAGAACCAATAATCAGTAGGAACTACTTCATCTTTTTACCTCAAGCATATAACCCTTTTTCATTAGAAGCTAAAGTAACATAGATATCAGTAAATGATAAGACAATAAATAGATACTTACTGAGTTCGGAAATTCTTGGAGATCTAAAACGACACGAGCTTCAATGTGCCAATATAGTGCCCTCTGCAAGCCTCTCTGCTCCAACCATATTCGTCCTGGTTGAGAACAGGGAATTCTTGTGCTAACAATAAGAATACCACGTACCTCTCAACATTAGTAACATAATACTACAATTATCAGGATGATTGCAACAGCAACACCAAGAATTTCAATAGAAGTCTACGCCCATGAAACTGATACTATAACAACATGCATTATACCAATGGCCTTCGCTCAAAATGGTATCTAACCAAGTTTGTGGTTATGAGTTCAAGAACCGCTAACGGGGTGTGCTTATTTTCTTTATTTAGCTTTGCCATCTCTATTTAAGAAACAATGATCATGGAAAATGAGAAATAGAACAACCTAATGATTTATGATAAGATTATAATTCTTCTTGTGAATCTTCAGTACAAAAGTCTATTGTTAAGACAAAACTTGCTACTATGAAACTTATAAAAGGGAAGGCTGAAATTAGAACTTCAACCTTCCTTTAATTCAACTTCCCATCCTATCCCTGGTACACGAATAACTTTTGGCATCGAGCTGATGATTTTGCAGAATGGAATTTGATTCAAACATTTAAATTTTCAAAGCCAAAAGAATTCCTAAATTGCAAGTAATAAAAGAATATAATACCTAAAAATAAGATTGGGGATGAAATCAGCAAGCCTTTCATAATCCGTAAGAGCATTCCACACCGAATCAACATCAGCATCCACCTCAACCTCAGACTTAACACGACGCTCCCTCCACGATATAACCTCCACTTCACATTTAACTTTTCTCTTTTTCCCTCCTTCTTCATACAACACCACTTCCTCAGCACTTATCCCATTAATTGTCCCATTCATAGCATTCTTACAGACGCATCTACTACAATTACGACCACCTGAGGAATTTAAATATTCATTCGAAAATTTGAAGGAATATATAGGAAGAGTAGTAATGGTAGTTGCTGCTGTACAACCAACGTTGTTGCTCCGACTGACTTTCCGGCGGGTTTTGCATGATGAAGAGTGATGTAGCTTGACGGAACTAGCGCCACCGCCGCCGATATAGATTGAAAGATGGTGGTGGTGGCTGGAATATAGAGCCTGCTTGGAGACGATCATTGTGAGTGCGGTGTGTTTCAGTGTGGAAACTGTGTGAGAAAATGAGCGGGGGAAAGCTTCTCGTGGCCATTGCTGGTGTGGATAATAATTTTACTTTTTAGCCCTCGTACTATTATTCAATATCAATTTAAGCCCCTTCACTATATTACTCTCATTTTATGAATTTTGGTCCAAATTCGTATTTATTTCGATACGTGATCATAGATATAGTTAGGGGATTGTTACATGCATCATATTTATGTTAAAATCAAATTAAATTATACATTAAAAATATAAAAATACAGATTTAATAATACGATAAAAAATTAATAAAATATAATACATTTAACAAGTATGAAAGATACATTTATTACACTATTAGTTATTGTTTTCAATACAACTTTTTTAGTTTCATTTTCGTACTTTTAGTTTGATGGGTTCTAAGATTTTCAACTTCTCTATTTTGGATATGTGATTCATATATTTCTTCATTTTTATTTTGTGGTGGGTTTTTTTTTCTAATATTATTTGTGGTGATGAGAGACAAAGAAGAAAGGGAAATTAAATATGATGTTTTTAAAAACAATAATAAATATATAAATGAGATTCTTGAGATTTTTTTAAATATAATTATCAATTTTCCTTTTTATTAACAAATATAATGGAAGTTAAGTTATAAAATAGAAACGATTCTTGTAGTTTATACAGTGTTTTAAGAAGCCAGTCGTAACAGCTATCGTAAAAGCTTTTGTCTCACATTATGTTAAGCATGTGACTCACATTGGTTTATTATATGGGTTTTTGTAACTGGATATTTGATTTTTTTTACATTTTTGATGTGTTATTTGTTAGTTTTTAATATATAACCTAATGTAAATTATCTGATATCATTGACTCATTGAGTAATAGTAGAAAATATATATTTATATATATAATATTATATAGAATATAGAGATTTGTTGTCATATGTCACGCTTTGAAAAAACGATATAGTCTCACAGTGGCTCATAACGCTTGAGGTTTGGCTTCGTCGCTACGCCTCATACCATTTAGAACCTTGAACTAATACAATAATGTGTAAAAGTAAAATAAATAAATGTTATAATATGAAAAGCACACAAACAATTAAGGTACAAGGAACTGAAACAAGGTTTATGAAACTCCTGTCAACACACATCTTGACTTATCTGATTCATTGAATGGTATTTCTTTCGCGCTTGCAATGCCCACTTATCGTTTAGGAAGTAAATTCACTTCTTCCTTTCCCTTTTGCCTCTGATGGCCGCTTTAAAAACATTTGTGATTAGGGCTCTTTGAAACGAGGTAAAGGCATCAGGATTAGGTGTATGATGCTCTTACCATGTTATCCCTGAAAAGAAAAGGCGAATTCCTCTGTTTGATGTCGATTCACCCCAAGTGGGAAGTTCACCCTCGAGTACTTGAGTTCTATTCCTATGGATGAGATGACGGCGAGCATGTGTAACACCCTAGTTTCATGTTTGTTAAATTACAAGGTTTTAAGCCCTAAAGACAAATTTTTATGAGCAATTTAAGTACTCTAAAAAGGTGTCAGCAGCTGTAGCATCTGTTAAATTGTTAAATTTTCAAGGCAAGTATCTTATAAGTAGTCTAGAAGTAGCTTACAAAAGGCAGAGCATGAGAAATCAAACCTAAAGTGATGAGTTGTAAGGACTATAAGCATGTGTTAGCAAGCTATTTAATGACTAAGCATGACAAAACAAGCTAGTTATGAGTTGTCAAGGCTAGGAACATATGTTGGCAAAATTCATGATGACAAGCAAGAGTTAAAAGCATGACAAATAAAAGTTAGAAACTTGATGCGTCAAGATTCCTTTATATTAAGCATGAGATGTCAAGATTCTCTTATCCTAAAAAATAGGTTTAAACTCTCATAAGAGTACAATTTTGGGAGCAAGAAGAACAAGTAGCTAATGCAATGAATTTACCTATAAATAGGGGTTGAAGTAATAAATATCTGTCTTTATACATAATCAAACTTAAAGAAAGGAATTAGGGGAAAAGTTAGGCTAATCAAGGTGAGTACTTATGAGATTTATGAGATACATACATGCTATATAAAAGTATTTTATGCATTACATGATATTTTGACAAGTATGGCGTACATGAAAATATTATATATTAAAGATATGCATGATGGCACGCTTTGATACAAGTATGTGTTTTACACCAAGGCATGAAAGTGTTACATGTTATGATACAAGTATGTGTTACACAAGGCATGAAAGTTTTTACATGTTATGTATGACCATTAATATCCAACGTACAAGATATTACTAGAAGGAACGTCTTACAAACGGACCTTATGGGGCAACCTTTATGGACCCAGAGGTTAGCAAACTCAAGACAAGTATAACATACTTACATGTTTCAAGTGAGATCTCAAAAGAATGTTTATGCATGATAAAAATATTATTTTTGTGCATGATCAAAAGTTTTAGTGAATTACTGTTCACAAAATGTTAAACATCATTGAAAATTGTTTATTCATGAAACCATAACTACTCACTTAACCTTTTAGCTTATATATCTCATGTTGTATTTCAGGAAAAGAGAAAAAAATATTTGCATGAAATAGTATTTTACTAATCAATAGCAAGTTATATTGTATTATAAGCTATTGAGTTACGTTTCCGTTACTATTTCATCTTTAATGTAATTATAAGCTACGTTATAAATAAATTTAAATTCCAAACTCATATTCAAGACTTAGTAATATCAATTATAAAATAACGATGCCCGATTTAGGATTTGGGGCGTTCCAGCATGTTGGAGGAATTCGAGAAAATATGAACCGAGTAAAATAGCTTGGATTAAATCTGAGATTATGTAAAAGCTCGTTTTCCTTAAGTTATATTTTGGCCAATCCTGCTAGGGTATCACAAAATTAGGCAATCTGAAACTTTTTTGAATGATACTGAAGAAAAGAGTACTCTAGAAAATAAACAGTCTCAAATCTGTGTAATGATTTTGGCATAAATCATTACCTTTTAAACTTATAGATTCATAAACAATCCTATATTAATGCCGAAAATAACTCCCCATTAGTATGACTTATTGCTGCAAATTAGTGAGCGGTTATGAAAAGAGCAGTTACCAAATTTGTCATATGCTCATCCGCTCGTATTTTAGCAGTCGGTAACAATCAACCGATAACTTTTCATGTCAGCAACTGATGAATATCAACTAATGACACATCAATGGGTAATTTCACCGGCTGATTTTCACCCAATGCTACACATCTAATGTATCATTTATCAGTGTTCGCGAACACTAATAAATATCCACTATTTCATCAACCACCCTTTGACCCCCCCCCCCGGGAGCCATATGAAGCCATCTCGCAATCACGGGTTCTAGTTAGCTTACATGAGTATGCACTCCACACCTCTTAACTCGTGATATAGCTTCACTCCCAATCTCATATTTCTCGTGTATCTAATTATATAAAATGAACCAATGATGTCACTAAAACTACCAACAGAAGAATTGATAGAGAACAAGATGCTACGATCTTATTCCTTGCTTCGGTTGGTTGATAGGACTCTAGGTGCAAGCTGTCTCAGACACCCCCAGTTATAGAAAACCGAGCAATGTTATTGTCATGATGGCACAAGAAATGCTAGTACCTTGTTTTATCTCAGGATTGAAATGCATATGTCAAATGAGTTATATATAACTGTGATTCTATGAACAGAAGATCAAATTTCATTTTCGGTCCAGATAAAGATCAAGAATCTACTAAAAGAGTGCAAACCACTGTTTAAGAGCCTGAAAGAACTTTGGTAATGTTACTTTGCACCGATGCAATGGACTCTACTGCAGATTTTGCCAGCCAACTGATTCCAACTTTAACACGGTGCTCATCAGTAGGTAACCTGATCAAGTAGGCTAGTTTCCTAGCTGCATTTTGTATCACAAGACCACCATGAATTAACAACCAATGAGGTTTGATGCTAAAAGCTAATATGCACAAAGAGCAGACTAATTACCAGCATGACCGACAGGGCCCTCCAATGTTAGACCATCGATAAAACTCGGTGTAATGGCAGCATCAAATCTCCCTAGGACCATCATCTCGCCCAAATTCTGGAACCTGTTCACAAAACAAGAATGACTTGTATAGGGTAGGGCTATTCAGTTAAAAGATCTTCTATGGAAGTGACTTTTACGAACTAACATCCTGTGTTTTTTCAAGATTTTACAGCGATTATGTGCTTCACAGCAGAAGCAGGTCATATCAAGGTTATTGAGTTTAAAAGATGTATTAAAAAGTCATGTTCCTAATCGGGAACTCGTTTAAGGTCACTTAGCTAATTGATTCATTCTAATGCTCACTGACCTGTGAAAATTGCAACATCTTTTTTCAGAGTTTTCAAAAAAAAATCAAATGTTGATTCGCTATCATCCATGGAAAAAAATGGATTGGTTAAATTTGGGTCTATATTTGTCTTTATTGGAGGGCGTTTTCACAAATAGCCAAACTTTTTCTTTAAACCATCTGTCAAGTCAAATGTTGTTTTTGTATTGGGAAAAGTACTGTTTTATAATAGTATCGAACCTAAATGGCAGTAGTGGACGGTTGTTGATAGCAGCCCATATGTTCCAACCAGCAAAATCTGCCTGCTGAAATGCAACCTGAAAACACATTACACTGCATCGTTACCAAGCAGCGCAAAATAATGACAAATTTATATATTCCCTCTACCTGGAAATAAATGCAACATTTCCCCTTTTGACAAAGCTTTAATCCAAGATTACCTCTTTACCCATCAGTAATTGTTACAATATAATGATTTGATTTTAATCACAAGATTTGGAGTATTTTATATATATCACTAATGATCAAACATATTCATTAAACTATTACCAGTCAAGACAGGAACAGAGCCAGGAAATCAAGGGAGAATGAGCCTAATGTAATTATGGAAATATTATGCAAATACACAACTATGTTTGGAGGTTCGGAGTCGGTGTTAAGCATGGAGTATGATGACAAAACGGCGCGCCTTAACTCCCGTTGCAAGCAACGGTTTACATGTTTTGTCCCTCTTGAGCTTGTTGAGCAGAGGTTTCCAACATTTGGATTAGTTATTCCCTTCATCCCATTGCAAGCAACATTTAATAAATAGTCCAACATATTACTTAAAACTATGTCGATTCAAATGTTGCAATTTCGATTGGATGAAGGGAATAACTAATTTATTAAATATATAATTTTTTTTTGGAAAAAGCTAACAGAATCTGCAAAACAGTAGGGACTTCTGCAGAGACATTTATAAATGCACACAACTTCAATGCTATTAGCATATTCTTGTTCTATAGTACCTGTGCAGTGGCTGGAAGCAATTTTCCTTTTGGATCTCTCAAAGCAGAAGAATCACCGACGGCAAATATGCGTGGGTGGCCCTTGACTTGAAGAGTTTCATCTGTTTCTGCTTGTCCTCTGGCAGTAACGGGAAGGTCAAAGGGTCTAGCATTCGGTTCCAGTTGAGGAAGTAAAGGTTTGTTCCCAACAGTCCACAGAACCAAATCAGCCTCCAAAAGTTGAGTTTTTGACCCTTTTTCAGTAGACTGCACCTCCAAGACCAACTTTTCAGGATCGTTGCCATTTGCTGTAATATCTGATTCCTCCAGAAAACTCCTGAAATCACCTGCTTTTCCTATGCGGCGGACAAAATACCCTAGTAGAAGTTGAACATTCCTCGAGTTGAGGACCTGTGAAATAGCTTTTTAATTTGAGATATGTCAACAGGAACTTCTATAAAATGTATTTTAAGTTTTTTTGCTAAAAGAATGTGTTAAGTATGCTACAGTGGGAGAAGGGTTTCAATTTAGTCCCAAGGGATTCAGCTATAACTTATACACCATGGAATTACAATATAGGGTCACGTTCAGAGGAAAACTGCAAAAAAAAATGAAAAACTGAGGAACACCCTAGTAACCATTCATCTATATGGTATGCACATGTGCATACAAGTAGTTTGTATAATTTTTCCGGTATGCACATGTGCATCAAAACCAGGAAACATCTTTGATTACTTGTATGCACATGTGCATACCGTACGGACGAACAATTATTATGGTGTTCCTCATTTTTTTAATTTTTTGGGGGGTTTTCCCCTAAACCTCTGTATATATAAATATAGATTGGGCATGACAAATATGCAATCCAGCAGGCACCTGAATATTTTAGTCAAGTTTGAAACAAACATTTGTCATATTGGTTAACCCTCATTTTTCTCTGTCAAATAGGCAAATTACTAATTTGTCTTTTAAAACTTAACCTGATAAACTAATAAAGAAAGCTTTACAGGTAAGGTATCTAATAGCACATTAAGATTCAACAATTTAAAACCCTATGAATTGATGAGCAACACAGTGTCTCTTACCTTCAAAGCAGCTTCCTTATTTCCAGGAGGAGCAGTTGGTAAGATTGAGGAGTCAACACTAATTGCTTGCACAACTCCCTTACCCTGTAGTCGTTCCGATACTGTTGCAGCCAGTTCAACTCCAGAGTAACCAAGTCCGACAACCACCACACGAATCGGATTTTCCTTACCGAAGTTCTCACGCTCCAATTTCGTTAACTTGTCATTTACCTTCTACATCACAATGTATAGACTAGCAATTTAGGCAGCCAGTAAAAATTTATGTAACCCTTAGGGGTAGCTCAACTGGTCAGGCCTTGGGTTTACTCCCCATTGGACACTGGTTCGAGTCCCCTCAGGGCATTGGAGATTCACCCGGCTGTTAACTTCAGGGCCCCATGGGATTAGTCGAGGTGCCCAGACACCCATGGTTACAAAAAGATGCTAGAGATAGCTATGCATAGAGACCACTTATATGCTATGTCCAAAAACTTACACAAGCATCATCCAGGGTCGAGAATGGTAGTGCAAATTCAACAGCACCTGGTATGATATCAAGCTTGGGTTCAGCTCCTAAAGAAAGTACCAACCTGGCTGCCCAAATACAAAATAGAGAATTAGCAAAAGGAAACTGAAGTAAAGTTAATATTATTATGAATCATAAGATATGCCTTGCTTTTCACATTAAGAGCAATTTCACAACTTTTGCAGTAGGTTAACTTAAACTAATGTGTTCGACTGTGATCATGAAAAACCCTTTGTGCAACCCCACTCGTAATGGTGGCATATCTTGTGACTCCAACTTCTTAGGAACTGGTGTACATTGCGAATTAGGAATCACAAATTTCATACCAATCATATTCAATAACAAGACCACTTTCAAGTTGAACAGATCCTCCACAGCCAGATACGGTGGACCCATTCATTCCCAGATGATCGCATGGACTGAGGACTTTCACCCTGTCTCTTAAAAATTGCACCGGGGTGCTGACAAGCAAATCTGAAAACCTTGGAGCAATCTCCCATGCATCTACTTCTACACTTCAACATTTCATTTAGAGCAATCCGTATACAATGATGAAGGATAAGAATTGAACTTGAGCATAAAACTCTAAATTGAAGTGTGTACCTCCCGTTAGAAGCTCATATAACATGGGTTTAAAGACAAAACGTTCAGATTGATCAACAAGGATCACCTGTTGTCGTTTTCAATAAAGTAAAAGTGTCACTATATTATTTCATAGAAAAATATCCCATGGTAATGTAAAAGTACACCAGGAAATAGAGTAAACATAGGCCTCAAAGTATTAAGTCATAGTAATCGATGCACAATACATAATATTCAGCAGCTTATCAGTACCAACTATTTAATTTATCTATGAAATGATCCACCAACTTGATGAAGTGAGAAAGAAAGTAGAATATTGAATAAAGTAGCATGCTGAACTTCAGCATCGTTACCTGAGGCTTCTTGTCATCAGGCCATGTGAGTGAATTTAACCTTAAAGCAGTATATAGACCTCCAAATCCGCCACCCAGTACGCACACCCTTGGCCTCTATAACAAAGAAGAATCAATTGCTTTAATAATGCTGATTGATAAACCTATATAGAGGAAGTCTACAACCAAAGTCTTTCTTTTTTGTAAACAGAAATATAGGCTTGTCTAACGATGCTTTACTTTTTGAGTGTTTGGTTTCTATCTTTTATCTTCGCCAACGGTTATAGGAAACAAATACATTATGGCTATATATCAAACACATGAATTAATCCATAAAATTAAAATGAATGCATCAAATAGAAAAATATCATACCTATAAATCAAAAGGGAATTTACTTTAGCATAGTAGTTAGAAGAATAAAGATGGCAAGCATAAGTAGTACCATAGTATTGTTGAACTTGCTGACAGCATGCCATCTTAAATTATACCAGCATGAACCCTGTTCTGTTGTATTCTTCTTCTTCTAATTATCAATTATCTTGTGGTCGTTTTTGTTGGAATCTGAGTATCCAACACTGTTCAGATACCAATCTACATGAACATTTATGTAGGGGTCTCCCCTCTCTAGCTCTTTTAAGGAGAGAATCAAGGGTTCAACATATTCTAACATGGTATCAGAGTCGGTCTTTAGCACTACCCAGGACACGGCACACAACCTAGACTACGTTCGAGCGGGCGTGTTGGACTCCCATATTGGCTAATCTCTTACCCCACTTGTATCCACGTAAGGTCCTCCCCTCCCCCTCTCTCTACAAGGGCTTGTTTAGGGAGAGAATTAGGGGTTTCACATATTCTAACAGTTATGAAAAAAAGGTTCCAATCAAAAAATTTATTTACAGACTTTAATCTTAAATGTGATATGGACGGATGATCATCCTGTCGACAGAAGCATGTAGAACACTCAAAATTCATTGCACCAAACAAGCACCCTAATGAATATGTACCTAAGAAATAAGAATTAGTGAAGCCAGCAGAGAACCCAACCTTCTTATCGGGCCATGAATAAGGTTTCACAGCCTCCTCTTGAGAAACTTCCATGCTCCCTGCAGTTCCCCCATTTGCAGAACTAACAAGACGTAATTGTCTACTCCTTGGAGTACTCGCAAGGAACAACGAATTAGAATGAATTTTAACCAAAGAAGAACCGTGGAACAGTTTACCCAAATTAACAACCCTACCTGAAATTTCACATGAAACAAAATTCTTCAACATCAATCAAATTTTCATCTCTATGTGATACTCAAATCATTCGCCATTCTTTAATTTCCTTATTCTTTTATCATTCTGTCTTAAACCCTAATCGACATTTGCATTTCAAATTATGGGTTTCACGAGTTTCAATTTTTTTCACGAGGCGTGTCCCTCGTAATTATCAAGTTACAACATCAATATCAATTCTCGAATTAATTTCAACTTCAAAATTGCGTAAGAACTCGAGAACTACATGTAAACTATGTGCCATATTCTCCCAATTAGAGTGTTTGAAGTTGAAATCACGGTACTTTCCAAATCATATATCCGTAGAAGATGTCTATAGGAATTTCCTGCGGTACAAGTGAGAAATCTTACGATTGAGAGGAGCGAGAACTGATGAAGCAGATAAAGCGGAGGCGGCAGCATTGAGATGTGCCATTGTTATAATCCGTGGAGACTGGAGACACGAGACGACGACGAAGAAGAAGGTGTATGTGGATTGCGGTGGTTTCAACAGTTCCACGTTGAAGTGCTGGCGCTTTTTGGTACTACAAAAATTCGTGAGATAAACCTTAACCGAAAATACTACGATACTAGAAATGATCGAACGGTCGGGATTTGTTTTTATGCTTCTCATCTTAACTTATATTATTACAACATCTTTCATTTACTAACATAAATTATGCATATAAAAACATCTCCGATGCAAAGTTTTTATAAGAAAAAAGTGTGGTTCTTAGAAAAACTACTATCAAAGAGAGTTCTTATAAGTAGGGGTGCTCACGGCCCGGGTTGATCGGTTTGGAGCCGTTTTAACAACCCAACTCAATGTTGGCGGTTTGAAAATTTTCAACCCAACCCAACCCAAATAAAAGTTCAACCCAACCCAACCCAACCCGTTCGGGTTGATCGGGTTGTGTTTAAACAATGTAAAATCACATAAAAATAAAGAAAACTTTCCTTTGAAATACGACCGACCATTCAAGATAATATGCAAGTTCATCAAATATTTAGATATTACAATAAAAATGTTTAAACTAAATGATAATACATCAATCAACAACAATAGTTTTAGACGTTTCCAACCCCGATGCTTTTGCGTTCTTGATGTTGAGGTTGGTCATGTCATGATTGTCATTTACAATTCAAAGCTTAAAGTTAAGGTCGGGTTCATCGGGTTGTCGGGTTGGTCGGGTTTTTCTGGGCCTGACCCGATACCAACCCAATAAGGTCGGGTTGGCTAATTTTTTTATCAATCATGCATCGGGTTACCTCGGGTTGTGTTTTTTTTTAAAATTCGGGTTGGGTTGGTCGGGTTCATCGGGTTTTTGAGCACCCCTACTTATAAGAACATCGTATCCTTGAAGTTCTTATACAAAAACTTTGGTTTCTTACCTTGAAACTGGTGTGAAGTGACTTTTTTGTTAGTTCTTTTATATGTTTTATTGACTTTATGATTATTATTGATGTCGAAAAAATACATGAAAACCATAAAACAGGTCTTTATAAGAACTATCATTGTGAAGTTTTATGTAGATTATTAATTTAATGAGATGGAAATAATATGGCAAGCAGAAATACAAAAAAATTGGGTTTTTATACAAACTTGTGTTGGAAATGCTCTAAAATTACCCTTGAAAAATGACAAGCACAAGGTCCTATTTGTTTTTTATGAAAATTTCCTAAGAGATTCTCTAAAAGTTTTTCAAAATGGAGAATCAAAGTCTAAAATCTCTAAAACTAATTGCATTCAACTCCAACAGATTCTTTATTTTAGGGATTCTATCATTAATTATATGATTAAAATATTTCATACATTTAATAAAATATTATTTTTCTCTTCTACGTTCATTTCAATGTTTTTGTTTTGTGGAATATAATAGAAAATGATGTCTCTATCATGGTAATCATTTTTGAAGAATTCTCCATATTTTGAGAAATTTACATCATCTCTCCTACATTCTCCATTTTGGAGAATTTATTGGAGCACAAAATTGTCCAAAATCCTCATTTTTTCTATTTTGAAGAACCTGTTGGAGATGCTCTAAAAGGTGTTGTTCGTTATCAGCAAAATCCAACATCAAGGTTTTTTCCGATGAAAGATACCATGGATTTATATTGCTGGTGAGGGTAGGAGGGGAGGAGATAGCAGGGTTTATCTCTTGTTTTTTAGGGTTTTAATTACTTTGTTTTTGTTTTAGGGAAATGAAAAGTCGGTAAGCAGTCGATAAGACATGAGTTATGTCTTGTCCAATAAGAGAACATTAAGAGGTTTTAAGCTTTTACAATAAAAAACAGTTTTATAAGTCTAACATCTGATACGGTAAAACATGAACAGTGAATAGTAGAACCTCATGTTACATATTTTTTTCATGTCATATTATTGTCACATCAACAAAATAAAAACTTCAATAGAACTCCACAATGGAGTCTCTTATAAAAGACTCACTTTTGATTTTTTTATTTATAGATTATTATTTAAAGATAATATATATATATATATATATGTATATATATATATATATATATGGACAAGTTCATTTGTTAACCCAAATTATTATGTTAACTTTATGAACTAATCATGAACATTGATTTTTAAAATATAGAGTTAAGATTAATCATATTTTAAATTTAATTTATTACCCTTGTAATCTCACAAACATATGTGAACATAGTAGCTCAAGAGTATTTATGTAAAAGAGGAGGTGCAATTAATGTCATCGGTTACAAACAGTAGAAATCATATATGTTCAATTGTGTTCATAATTGTCACAAGTGTTCATATATGTTCAATTTGTGTTCATAATTGTTACAGTTGTTCATATATGTCAATTTGTGTTCATATGGGTGTATACATGTCAATTTGTGTTCATAATTAGCAAGACATTCGCTTTGATTATTTAATTCACTTCCTGATCTCGAATTGCCGACTGTCACCATAAACAATTTTAACATTCTTAATGTTGTCATATTGTTTTCCCGATCTCGATGTATTTTCCATTTATTTGAAGGAGAAGAGGAATATGTCATTTATATATAAACAATTAGAAGGGTACTCGTGCAATGCAGCGAGATATATCTTTATTTTAATATTTTATTTTATTTTTAATATCAATCGATGTTATAATATGGTCTTATGTGATTTTGAAAAAAACGATGATGTTTTTTTTTTGAATAAAATATAAATTTGAAGATATCATAAAAATTTGACAAATTATATCGATATCAGTATTATTAACTATTTAAAATTCATCGTTTTTTGTGTAACTTTTTATTTCAAATTTAATTTAAGTTTAATAATGAAATAATTTATATTTGATTTAGTAATATAATTTTCGTATAAAGATAATAGTTAATTATTTTGTTAGAACTCGGTAATTATCCTAATAATATTTTAGATTTTTTATATTTTAAAATGAGATGTTTATCCTCTATTTGATTATGTTTATCCGCAGTTAGTTACACGAATTCAAACATGTAGCTTTAATAAGTTGTACTTATGCATAATTTGCTTGTAATCTTGAATTTTAAGTAATATGCATCAATATACAGTACTTCACGCATAAAAAATAGTTTTTAAGAGTTTTTGTCAAATACTTTATAATATAGTATAGATTTGATATTTTTTAGAAATAAAAAATATGTTTTACAATTATTAATTTATATTTATAAATTAATATATATATATATATATATATATATATATATGTATAGACTTGGGAGCATGTGAGACCAAGAGTTTTTCGTGAGACCCGTAAGACCAATTCTCAACCCTTAGATTAGATTGCTAATATAAATATTCATAATCACAAAATTGTCACGAGACTTCTCAATAATCACAAAATTGTCATCATGCAACTTTAGACCATTAGATCATTAGCTTATAAAATTGATCAATGAACATAAATTGATCTCACGAAAAACTCTTGGTCTCACGTGAACCCAACCCTGTATGTATATATGTGTGTGTATATATATATATATATATATATATATATATATGTATAAGCTATAAGTATTATTAACATAATAATATAACAAGATAATTAAAAACCAAACTTAATAAAATGAAATATAAAAAACTTGTACATTAGAAAAACAAAGAAATGATAAGTAATAAATATCATATTTTATGTGTTTATATTGAAGGAAAACATCATAAACCACAAACTGAAAATAACACATACATTTAACGGTTATAAAAGCAACTAATCTCATATTTTATTCATTTTCTAAATTATTGGTATTCGGATGAATTACTTGTATTTCGATTAATTTCATAGACCCCTAAAGATAACTGTCTAGAAAATATAATCTATACTGAATTCATCGGCAATCCTGTCGAGCACACAACCCAAGTAAGAGATGAATTTTTTGATAGATTATATGGCTCTGAATACCATATGGTATTCCCAAACTGAAAGACTAGGCAAGACTAAAAGACTAAGATTGATTATAAGAAGGTGTGGAGAATATGAACTTAAACTTAAGAATAAGCCAGAATGATTTTGAAAAGTTTCAAATTCTCGACCTAAAAACATCCACAATGGTAGAACTTTTTCAAGAAACTATATCTAATACACCGGGACTCAAAAGTAAGTTGACCAGGTAAAATTGTCTATTCAAAGCTTGTACAATCCGTAACAAAACGATACTTTTCTGTTGTTACACTTTTTCAATGAACCCGTAAGCGATGGATGCTGTAAAGGAGGATCCGAGAAACCAAGACCTAGCATTTATCTACTAAGAAAATTCGTTATTGCTTTTCAATAGAGGTGACGTGGGAAGATAAATTAATTAATCGATCTTACTTTCGTACATAACTATGATTGTTCAGGTCCGTTTGTGCCTCGATTGATCTCATGATACTCTGAAGTAATGATATAATTGATTATGAGCCGTCTCAAAACCCTAAACAAATATTCGAGAATCTTTTTAATAACAATGGGCTTCTGGGTTACTTTATGCATACCTCGGTTAATCTCATGTAACCTAAAGTTGACAGTTTGAAAAACCTCTATTGGACCGCAATCCCAAAGGGGCACGAAATGGTGATCAACGAAGGTAAATAAATGGTACTTTGTCATAATGTCGAGTTTATTTATGAGTTGATATGGCGACATGACTGTTTTTTTTCAAACGATATGATTCATAATATTGTAATTTTCATATATATTCAAATTTCTGTAATTTCTTTTTTGTATGGTTTTGTTGACGTTAAGAAACACTTTACATGAATAGTTGTCGGTGTGTATAATATTACGACACGCAACGAAAATTAGTATGGTCATTTTATTAGCGTTTGTTATGGACCATGTCATAAACGCTGTAAAGCGTCTGTTCATCCTTTTATAAAAAAAATGGTGTAATATCAGTACGATGTACTTTATCTCATTGTTTTAATTTGACGATCAGACTTTTGATTAATTACAAAAGCAAGTATTACTATTTGTTTTTTATGACCTTAGGTTCGTTATAAAGGTAGGCTAATCCAAGGGGTCAAGAGCCATCACGAGGCATCGTTGATTTATGTCTTTCTCATTCCAGTATTGTTATTGTCGTTATTTTAAAACTAAAGTAGTCTTATATTTTTGATTTTAATAATGTTATTATCGTCATTATTATCGAGTTGTGTTACAGTTAAAAGTCGAGGTTTTGTGTCTTCATCATCACAAACGGACAAGGTCTTAGAACTAAGCTTATGGGTTGTTTGTCAATTGCTGAATGTTTTGGTGTAAGATGATTAAGAGATTCTTATGATATAGTGCAAAATGATATATGATTGTTTGGTAATTGTTTATAATGAGAATAGAGCGTTGAATGGTTCATGGGAGCCCAAGATACAAAATCATTCAGAATGTTTTAGAACCATTAAGAGGTAGACTTTTTTGTCTAACAAGATTCATCTATTAGTCATTTAGATATTGTCTCTTAATAAAACTATTAAGAAATAAACAAACAACCCTTTACTAGGAAAAAGAAGTTTGTCTTCTCTCGTGATCCAGCTTTCTAAAAACATTGGTCCCTAATTCACATATGAATAAAAAGCGTTGATCTCATTATGTTTTAAAAACCATGCACGAGCTCTTTTCTAAGGAGGCGTTTGGTTTGATTGAATATTTTAAGGGAATCATATTTCGTGAAAGGATTTGGAGGATTAAATCAGATTTGAAGGGATTTGCCGATTTGAATTTGTTTGTTTGAAGAATTAATTTCTTGGATTTGAAATCTTACAAACATAGGATTTTGAAATCCCACGTGGATGGTTGATATTTCATGTGATTTCGTAGAATTTACATGTAATAATGTTTTAAAATATGCTAAAAATATTTGTTTTGTATAAATCAAATAATAAACTGTTAATTTCATCATTTTATAATTTGTTTTCATAATTTTTTTTTATAAAAAATGAAATTCAATTCAATTCCAAATCTTACAAATCAAATATTCCAAATACTTTCAATTCTAAATCATTCCACAAAGTTCAAATCCTTCAAAACTATTCATCAAACCAAACGTCCCCTTAACGAATTCTAAACATAGTGCTAACAATTTTGACTTTTTGGATGAGTTGATTTTTTAATCTAACTTTAAGTACCTTCAACTATATCCATCTACCTTTATCTTTACTTTCAGTATTTTTAACGTAAATAAATTCGTTAAGTTTTGGTCATGATGATAAAAATATGTAGATAATATAAATGTAGTTGAAAGTATATAAATTGTTTTACTCTCACATGACAAATGTATCATTACATAGTTCAACTCTTATCTTGACCGGAACTCAATCTTATTTACATATGATAAATATATACAAATGTATAATTACCGTCAACCTTATTTACCATGTTTAGATCCTTGACGAATACACTTTCAAAACGAGTTCTTACATAGCCCAACCTTATTACGGGGTTGCTTAATTGTTTCTTCATTAAATCATGTTCTGATTAAGTTGTCTATATAAATTAATGGACTCTTTATATTGTGCTGAGTAGACTTTTTCATGATTCAAAAAGACCATTTCAACCCTTACTTATTATTTTTGTTTTTTTTTCCATTAAGCTTTTTGTGTTCATCTTATTCTTTTTTTAGCGTTTGGTACGCATACATGATTGAACGACATGACATGACTGGACTAGACGGTCAGGATAAGAGGGTGAGACTGGATAGGATAAGAGGGTAGAACTGGACATGACTGGATGTGACAAGACTGAACATAACAAGTGTTTGTTACGACTAGGACGGGATATAGACAAATTGCCTCCAAAAGTTATTTTATGATTCTATATATCATATAATAGTTATCGTTAACATAAATAAAATAAATAATTTAATTCATAAACATTTTACACAATTTTCATATACATAAATATAAAATAGCACCAAATTTGAATGAATTTTTTTATATACTTGATGGTAGTTTGAAAAAACTCGATTCATACAATGGAGAAATTATGTTTTATTCAGTTTGGAAGATCTTTGTCAATTGGTGAAGACACAGTGAAGATTGTTGCAACAACAATGGCTGTGGAGGTAGAAACATTGGCAATTGATGGACGATGGTGCTTGTGGAGGACGTGAAGATGGTGAATAGTGGTGGTGGCGGCGGCCGACAGTGGTGGAAGAGATAGTTGGCCTATGTGGTGGAGGTAGGTGTGATGGTAGGCAGTGATGGTGGAGGTAGTGGTGGCCAACGATACTAGTGGTGGTGGAGATGGAAGGTGGTGGGTGTGGGGACGTGAATATATTGGTAGCGGTAGCCGATAATGGTGGCCAACGGTGGTAGTGGTAGCCGTTGGTGGTGGTGGACAATGGTAGTGGTAGTCGATGGTGGTGGTTATGGTGGAGGTGGTGGTGGCCGACAATACTAGTGGTGGTGGAGTTGGACGGTGGTGGTTGTGGAGACGTGAATATAGTAGATATTGGTAGCGGTAGCCGATAGTGGTGGCCGACGGTGGTAGTGGTAGCCGTTGGTGGTGGTGGACAATGGTAGGGGTAGTCGATGGTGGTGGTTATTGTGGAGGTGAGGTGGCCCATGGTGGTGGCGATGAACGGTGTTGGTCGATGGTTGATATTGGTTGTTGAGATGGTGTAGGAGGTTGTAGTAGAGGAGAGGGTGGAGATGGCCAACAGTGATACTGGTGGTGGCAATGGACAGTGGTGGTCAGCGCCCGACGGTGGTTGTGGAGGTGGTGGAGGAGGCGGTTGTAGTAGAAGAGAAGGTGGAGATGGCCAAAAGGTGGTAGTGGCAATCAGGGGCGGATCTAGCTTGTAAAAGGCGGGGGGAAAGGCCCCCACTAAAAATTTAAAAAAAAAATTTTTCTAAGGGTAAAAGTTGTTTTTTTTATTTTCTACCATGGTGTTACTCCGTAATTTCTTGTTAGGCCCCCACCAACTAAAGAAAGTATCTTGAAATCAACCAAAAAACTGAAAAGTTTCTCGAAATTGATAAAAAAAAACCCTTAAAAATCACTCGAAATAATCCAAAAAACTTCAAAAATCTCTTGGAATGGTGGAATAAGGCTAAAAACACATCGGACGACTTTATGGGCGTTTAAGCTACCTTAAAGGTGCCCCCACTAGACCAAAATCCTGGATCCGCCACTGGTGGCAATGGATGGTGGTCGGTGGCCGATGGTGGTTGTAGAGGTGGTGGTCGATGGTCAATGGTGGTTGTGAAGGCGGTGGAGGTGGTCGACGGTGGCTACCGATGGTGGCGGATCATGTTAAGGCTATATATCAAACGAAGGTTAATTAGTAATATTTTAGTTGTCTTATTTATATCCGATCTTATTCCACCTATTTTGGTGGAGCAAAAAATTTTTTTTGTCCCATATTGTCCTACCTTGTCCCAATTTTTATCCATGTTCCATGTCGCATCAAACGTGGGACATTGAATTCTTGTCCTGTCCCATGTCATGCCAAACATGAAACTGTGAGTTTAGTCATATCCCATCATTTTCATATACCAAACCCAACCTTTATGAAAGACGGTCACAAGTCCCACATTTAACATTCACATCCACATAAACAATGCACACGTTTCTCTAATAATTTCAGTCCCTTATTGAATTGAAAATCAAACACAACTGAGAAGAGAGAGGAAATGTTATGGCTTAACGAAATTCCTATTTGGCAGACCAATTAAGTTATGGACTCAATAATAAGTCACAAACAGTAACGTGTGGCTTACCAAGTAAGCCAAACATGCCATAAGGTCATTAAATAAAAAATAAACAGCCTCTAAATCAGATATTACCATAACTCTTGAGCACAAATCACACTCTAATTAAGTCTAGGTCCGAAAATCAATCCAAAATATGACACAACTTAACATCAAATTGCTTATGGACAATGGAATAGTCTTACCAATTAATATATAAGCATGATAAACAAAGCTAGCAAACAAACTACACACATGAAAAAGAAAATGTATGTTGTAACCTATTACATACTTGTTTGTGGCAGATCAAGAGATCGATCCTGCACACATTCTATAAAATTAGACAAAAAAACGTGTATTTTGTCAATTTTTTACAATGGCTGTTGTTGACTTGTATGTTGATCATCTCTAACACCATCAGCTCTCACCTAGTAAATCGTAGAAGACCTTTGGCTTCTTGTATTCGGCCTTGCACAACGCCTAAAGAAGCCATGTCAACGAAGAATTAGATTATGAACAAACACTAAAAGAGCCAATGAAGCCACGAGGATACTAATATTAAGGAGGTGTTTGGTTTGTTTCAGGGAATGGAAATGAAAATGAGTATTCATTCATTCCTCTAGTTTGTTGAGGATGTTTCATTAACCCGTATCTCGTAATGGCTCATTCTATTGCATCCAAGGAAACACCAATTCCGTTTCCATTCCCTATCCCCTATTACCCCTACTAAATCCCCCTAAAAGAGTTGCCAACGTACCTCCATGGCGTAAGCTATCTGGATCAACTTAGCTTCAGACCATGGCTTCCCGATAAACTGAATCCCAATGGGCAACCCGAGTCTGTCATATCCGACCTACAAAGACCAAGTAAATGTTAAATGGCTTGGTCCGGAAACAGCTAACTGGGGATCAAGATAAGTATGTGTTACACAACCATAAGAATTGGTTAAAGGAAGCAATTTGACTTAATTAGTAGAGTATACCGGAACAGTCACAGCAGGGAACCCAAGAAAATTTCCAGCTATTGAATATCGAACGAGTGCAGCTGAGAAAAAAAATTGAGTTGAAAACCAAGTGGTAGATCGAGATCATGCATTATAAATGAAGTACTGTATACCTCCATTAACGTAGTCAAGTTCACCGGTCTCTTGAGCATCTTCCTTTATTTCATATGCCGTTACACTACCATGATCAACAAGGCAAATCAATCCATTTTGTTATGAAAAAAGAGCACATGACCATTATGTTGTTTATTAAGGAGATAAGATAACCGTTGTCAAAGGGAAAAGATTTAAGGTACAAGATCATACCCAACCATAGGTGAAACAATGACATCGGCCAGTCTGAAAATCGTTTCATAGAACTTCATTTGACGGTTTCTGTAGCCAAGAAAAACCGATGAATTTAGAACCTATATTGTAATAGGAAGAATGAAACAGGTGGAACTGTGAAGAGCTAATACCTGATCCGCTGGGCGTTCAAGTAATCCCTACTGTCAAAAGATCCATATATAGAAAGTGCTACTCTTACATCCCACCCTGATACTGACTTCCCCCTGATTCATTTTAAGTTCAAAAATCAGCATCCTTGGTTTGCCAAATTTTTAAAAACGAATTCTGAACTTGGTGCATTTTAGGAATTTACTTACATCTTTTCTAAATGATGAGCAATAGATGCTGAACATTCTGAACCAATCGTAACATAATGTGCCAAACGCATGACTTCAATGTCTGGTAGAGTCACTTCATAAGTCTTCAAACATGGACAAAAAGAACAAAAGACGAGGATTACAGTTGCACAGGTTAGAACCATTGGTTATAATGTGAATGAACTTTCACATTCCCTTTTCCCCATTTAGTAAAATGAATCAATTTGGAGGAAAAAGGATAAACTTTGAGTACCTCCCATCCGTACGACTTATGAAGACTAGCCAAAGCATGTAAACAGCAAGCTCTAATATCATCAGAGCAATCGTTGAACCACTGATGAATAGAAAGCAGAAATATCGACATTAGCATCATAAAAGGTTTAAAAGTAAAAGTACAGTGGCAGCGCAAGAACCTCATTAGATTTAGCCAGCGTGATACGAGACATATTAGAAGGCTTCAGCATTGGCAAATGTACTCTAGGCTGCCAAACGTAGAAAAGAAAAAAGCAATAAGATTATCAGTATAGCATGTATATAGAACTCTCTGGGTGGGGTGGGTTGAGCATGATAGGATGGAGGCAGGTACCATGGTTGGTTGGTGTGATTCAGCTTGGCCGCTGATAGCTGCATAACTGAAAATAACTTATGAAAAACACCAAACAAATCTGCAAGAGTGGAAAAAGGGGGATTTTACAGATCAAGAACACTAACACGATTAGGGAATCCTCAACTGTGCCTGCTAGTATTCCGACCATTCCAACTGTCCAGTTCAAGGGAAGAACACTGAAGAAATAACAGAAATAAAGACAGTTTAGACTTACTGTCAAATATCATGCATATAAGTTTATTCCTTTTGAAATTTTGTTTTGCATATAAGTTCACTGACCCTGAGTGTGGTATGCGCCCAAAAGACGGCTTTAAACCAATAACACCACAAAGAGCAGCAGGCATTCTCACAGATCCTAAACAAATGGTGCAAATAGAAACTTAATCTTAGTTACTAGCAGCATATGCTTTATTTTCTTGCTAGTACCGTATGAGTTCTATTTACCTCCCCCATCAACACCGAGGGCCACTGGGCACAGTCCTGCACATACAACAGCAGCAGATCCACTAGATGAACCACCAGAAATACGTCTGGGATCATATGGGTTCCGTGCACTCCTGCATTACCCAGAAAAAGGCAAAAACAAATAAAAAATGAGTATAAACGTTTTGGACTTGTTTTAAGGATCTACAAGAAAAAGGCATGGTTTTCTTTACCCGTAATGAGGATTTATCCCACTGGTTCCTGCACCGAGCTCATGCATATTTGTTTTTCCCACAAGTATGGCACCACATGATCTCAGGCGCTTCACACAACAGGCATCTTCTTTGCAAGGTCTTACTTTATGCAACCACTTTGAACCTCCTATAACAATGGTCAGATACGTAACTTATAAAATTTATTCTTCCATCTAAAAAATCATAAAGTAGACTGTTTTAGTATGAATTATTAAGACAAAAAGCTAATCTAGGATCATAAGTTACAACTTTAAATAGGTGAATTCTAAAGGGGTACTTTTTTCAAACAGAGGAAGTATAACAGATCCTGCAGGTCAAATTTACTCTGGCTACTAAAATATTCACGAATGATAGGTGATTAAGAACATTAGTCAAAACTTAAAACGGAGCTCTTTAATCAGGCAAAGAACATTAAAAAGATCACTCTTTTTAAGAACAATAGAATACAACAAATCTTACATAATAAAATCTACTTGGCTGCTGAAAGCTGCAATTCTGTAATACCAAAACATAAAATTACCGGTAGTTGGATGTGGCATGCAATCTATTTCGTCCTTGACAGCAATGGGGACTCCATCTAGAACTGAAATTGATTCACCTGCATACATCAATAGTAAATATGAATGTCTGTGTGCACAAGACCTCAACACATTTAAAATTGATTCACACTTGATGTTTCAACTAAGAAAGTGTCATGAACTGTAAGTGTCCAACTTGCTATTTGAAAATGATTCTAAGATGAGTTCCAGTTGCAATGCCTGTAGTTACCTCTCTCATGCCGTAGAGTCGACTCAGCAGCCTGCCTTAGAATATCCTGAGCATCATACCTAATGAAGAATGACATATCCATCCCTGGACTAGAGGATTGCACGACGGCTGATATTAATCGCTCTGCAACCTGAAAATGATGGTATATGCAACAATTTCAAGAATCTAATCAACTAGTGGAAGCAAAATTGTTAACATACCACAAGAGGAGTTATTTGTCGCTTTGCATAAGCTCTAGAGTAATCCAAGATCGTCCATCGGCAAAAACTGAAGGATGAATCATGAAGTACAGTGTCTGAAGACTGCAAACAGTCCATGGCATGTTGAACTTGTTCTGCTGGTGACATACCACGATCTAGGCATTTTACTTCTTCTTCTTCAACGTCTGGATTTTTTAAAATTCAGATAAATTGTAAATGTTGCATCTTGTCAATGTTAATTTAGTGATAATGTGAATCTTTTTTCCTGGGCACTTGAATATATCCTTCAAGTAATTATAGTCAAGAAACTAACCTTCATAAGTGTGCAAAGGAACATAAAGAGGTGACTCTTCCAACACTCCATATGAAACTAGCTGCATAAGAGGAAATCCAACTTTATACTCTGAAAAAAGAAATCCATATTAAGAATTTTGATCGTATATTTGTCATTCTTGAATTTTTATCCCTATCTTTTGACAAGTTAACTTTCTGAGAAATTTTGTTACTGAAATGATTTTTCGAAATTGAAATGATTATGGTTGTTCAAATCGCTATAGTGATAGTACCACGCCAAATTAGCCAAACTTTTATAATATACTTGTTTTCTTTCTGTTGATTTAGATAATGACTACTGTTAATTAGGTAAAGGTAAATTTCTAAAATACAAAAACTAAATTGAAAATTGGAGAAATCCATTATCCATACACTTTGAATTCGGTTATTCTTCTTCAGAAAATATAGCAAGATGTTGCCGATTAGCTTCATCTCCAAAAACCACACGAACACCTTCGCGAAAAGTCCCGCCATTCGAGGAGCTGTATATACACAACCACAAACATATGTAATTATACAAAAATTTTAAGCTGATGATCAAATTCAGTTATATCCGTACATGATGATATACATATATGCAACTATAATCACACATTTAGGATGTTAATCTGTTTTATCCATACACATATATCCATCATCGCCTTCTTTATTGCCAATTATCTATTCAATTTCAGTACATATGTGTGTGTAGTCATGAAATTGAATTGAAATTGACTTGAAGAGACCTTTGACGTCGGCATGAAGGTAGACTTCGCCGGAGTTAGGACCGAGATCGACTTTGTTGACAGCTTTGTAAACAACGCCGTCGTCCCTAAGAATCCCCATTGTTTCTGATCGTGAAGGAGAGAGCGAAAGGCGAAGTGGAAGAGTCGGTAACGTGACTCTTCAACCAATTGTTTGCTGTATTTATAGTCGCGGAGTGAGTGTAGTTCATGCATTTTACCATTACTGGCATATTTTATTTTATTAAAAAAATATTTTTTATTTAGAAATATAAAGTTTATTTTACTTCTATTAAAAATTAAGAGCATTTTTTTATTAATTCTTTAATATTAAAAATCAAATACTAAACTTAGATTTTTTATTTTTAAATTTTAATATAATTTATATTACTAAAATATTTAATATTTCAACATTAAATTTTAAATAATTCTTTAACTTAAATTTTTTTATCTACTTTTTTTTTTTCTATTTTAGAAAATTTATTGTACCAAAAACATTTAACATCATTATTTTCTTTGGTTTAAAAAAGGGTTGGGTTAAATAAACTCCTACCTACTATTTTTTTTCACATGTATTAATATCGGGACTTGTTTTTTATATTTTTAGGGTCTGTTTGGTAATTGTTGAATGGTTTGGTGCATATTGATTAAGAGGCTCTTATGATATAGTGCAAAATGAAATATAATTGTTTGATAATTGTGTACAACGAGATTACGGCTCTTAATGGTGAAGGGAGATTCATGATATAAAATTATTCAGAGGGTTTTAAAACCATTAAGAGACATATTTTTTTTGTCAAACAAGATTTACATCTTAATGATTCAGAGGTTGCCTCTTAATGAAACTATTAAGAGATAAACAAACAACCCCTGTATGATTTGAATCTCATTGTGACTTAAATATTAATTAATTTTAATTGTAAGTATTAATAATATTTATTAATCATCTCTTTCTTAGTGCTTTATTTAGGCTCTGTTCATTTTTATAAATGTTATTAATTATATTAATTATTATTTTTTAGTTATTATTCAATATATTTAGATATCAAAAGACAAATATAAAACCATAAGGGTGATGCCTGATTGGTTTGAGCTTGGCTCCAAACCAGGAGGTCTCAGGTTCACATCTAAGGAGGAATAAAAATCATCTTGTGGCAACGGACGTTCAAATGCGGTGACTTCGGGCTATCTGCAAAGCATGTGGTCATCCTGGGATTAGTCGACTCGTATAGCGGGTTGCATATCCAGGTTAATAAAAAAAAAAGACAACATAAAAATTCTAGAAACGTTTATGTAAATTACATAAATATTAAAGTTATGCTTATTTTAGTTCATAGATAATTAAAATATGTTAGATAATTTTAATCAAACATTTAATTTAATTATTAATTATATTTTTAAAAACTGTTAATTAATTAGGATATGTGAGATTGACGGACTTTA